ATTTAAAGCATTTTTGGTTTTGATCATAGTAGGCTATTTTCAAAAAAATATCGATTTTATATCTATATTAGCATTCTATATCATTTATAATACTTAGATATTTTTTAAAATGCAATTTAAAGTATTTTTGGTTCTGATCAAAGAAGGCTATTTTCAAAAAAATATCGATTTTATATCTATATTAGCATTCTTTATCATTTACAATACCTAGATATGTTTTAAAATGCAATTTAAAGCATTTTTGGTTTTGATCATAGTAGGCTATTTTCAAAAAATATCGATTTTATATCTATATTAGCATTCTTTATCATTTATAATACTTAGATATGTTTTAAAATGCAATTTAAAGCATTTTTGGTTTTGATCATAGTAGGCTATTTTCCAAAAAATATCGATTTTATAGGGTTCGTTCACTTATTACGTAACGCACTAGGGGGGGAGGGGGGTCTAAGATTTTGTTACGGTTGGTTACAGGGGGAGGGGGGGGTCTAAATTTTGTTACGTAACTTTTCAAAAATTATATTTTTTATAGAGTGAAATCATTAATGAAAATTACGAAGTAGATGAAAATTGGAAAATGAAACACATTAGATCGTCACAATACTTTTTGCAGATAGTTAAGTGCTCAAATGTATCCTGCTGTTCAGCACCGCGAAGCTCTTTTTTTAATTTCTTTCCGCACCGGTTTCTTCCACCTCCTGTATCTTTAAAATACGATCCTAAGATAACAATTGCTGATCCAAAAGACTCTAATGCCCGCTTTGCTACATTTTTGATTGTAATCATTAATCATTACTGTGCTTCAATCGATATGTTAAAGAATCACCGAAAAATTATTCACAAACGTATAGTTAATACTAAGAAAAAACCAAGAAAAGTAATATGCAGACGTGAAAAAGAAGTATTAGTACAATTGCAAGAGGATTTGGATTGGGTAGAAGCTGAGAACTTGGATATTGAAGAGGAACGTGCAAATACTGATATTATTGTTGAATATCAAAATGTATTTGCAGTTGAAGATCATTTTCAACCAATTTGGGAAAACGACTAATGATTACAAAAATTATGAGTTTTTTTTGCGTTTAGTTAATAATATGGATGTAAACGATTAATATATTTTTTTATTGCTTTCCTTCTATTTACTTTTACATACTTAAAGGAAGTATAATAAACATTTGATAAACAATTTAAATGAAAAAAATTATTGTTACGTTATGGGGGGGAGGGGGGGTCTAAGATTTTGTTACGCTTTGTTACAGGGGGGGAGGGGGGGTCTAAAAACTCATTTTTTTGCGTTACGTAATAAGTGAACGAGCCCATATCTATATTAGCATTCTTTATCATTTATAATACTTAGATATGTTTTAAAATGCAATTTAAAGCATTTTTGGTTTTGATCATAGTAGGCTATTTTCAAAAAAATATCGATTTTATATCTATATTAGCATTCTTTATCATTTATTATACCTGGATATGTTTTAAAATGCAATTTAAAGCATTTTTGGTTTTGATCATAGTAGGCTATTTTGAAAAAATATCGATTTTATATCTATATTAGCTTTTTTTATCATTTATAATACCTAGATATGTTTTAAAATGCAATTTAAAGCATTTTTGGTTTTGATCATAGGAGGCTATTTTCAAAAAAATATCGATTTTATATCTATATTAGCATCTATATCATTTAAAATACCTAGATATGTTTTAAAATGCAATTTAAAGCATTTTTGGTTTTGATCATAGTAGACTATTTTCCAAAAAATATCGATTTTATATCTATATTAGCATTCTTTATCATTTATAATACTTAGATATGTTTTAAAATGCAATTTAAAGCATTTTTGGTTTTGATCATAGGAGGCTATTTTCAAAAAAATATCGATTTTATATCTATATTAGCATTCTATATCATTTATAATACCTAGATATGTTTTAAAATGCAATTTAAAGCATTTTTGGTTTTGATCATAGGAGGCTATTTTCAAAAAAATATCGATTTTATATCTATATTAGCATTCTATATCATTTATAATACCTAGATATGTTTTAAAATGCAATTTAAAGCATTTTTGGTTTTGATCATAGGAGGCTATTTTCAAAAAAATATCGATTTTATATCTATATTAGCATTCTATATCATTTATAATACCTAGATATGTTTTAAAATGCAATTTAAAGCATTTTTGGTTTTGATCATAGTAGGCTATTTTCCAAAAAATATCGATTTTATATCTATAATAGCATTCTTTATCATTTATAATACTTAGATATGTTTTAAAATGCAATTTAAAGCATTTTTGGTTTTGATCATAGTAGGCTATTTTCCAAAAAATATCGATTTTATATCTATATTAGCATTTTTTATCATTTATAATACTTAGATATGTTTTAAAATGCAATTTAAAGCATTTTTGGTTTTGATCATAGTAGGCTATTTTCCAAAAAATATCGATTTTATATCTATATTAGCATTCTATATCATTTATTATACCTAGATATGTTTTAAAATGCAATTTAAAGCATTTTTGGTTTTGATCATAGTAGGCTATTTTCCAAAAAATATCGATTTTATATCTATATTAGCATTTTTTATCATTTATAATACTTAGATATGTTTTAAAATGCAATTTAAAGCATTTTTGGTTTTGATCATAGTAGGCTATTTTCAAAAAAATATCAATTCTATATCTATATTAGCATTCTATATCATTTATTATACCTAGATATGTTTTAAAATGCAATTTAAAGCATTTTTGGTTTTGATCATAGTAGGCTATTTTCCAAAAAATATCGATTTTATATCTATATTAGCATTTTTTATCATTTATAATACTTAGATATGTTTTAAAATGCAATTTAAAGCATTTTTGGTTTTTATCATAGTAGGCTATTTTCCAAAAAATATCGATTTTATATCTATATTAGCATTCTATATCATTTATAATACCTAGATATGTTTTAAATGCAATTTAAAGCATTTTTGGTTTTGATCATAGGAGGCTATTTTCAAAAAAATATCGATTTTATATCTATATTAGCATTCTATATCATTTATAATACCTAGATATGTTTTAAAATGCAATTTAAAGCATTTTTGGTTTTTATCATAGTAGGCTATTTTCCAAAAAATATCGATTTTATATCTATATTAGCATTCTATATCATTTATAATACTTAGATATGTTTTAAAATGCAATTTAAAGCATTTTTGGTTTTTATCATAGTAGGCTATTTTCCAAAAAATATCGATTTTATATCTATATTAGCATTCTATATCATTTATAATACCTAGATATGTTTTAAAATGCAATTTAAAGCATTTTTGGTTTTTATCATAGTAGGCTATTTTCCAAAAAATATCGATTTTATATCTATATTAGCATTCTTTATCATTTATAATACTTAGATATGTTTTAAAATGCAATTTAAAGCATTTTTGGTTTTGATCATAGGAGGCTATTTTCAAAAAAATATCGATTTTATATCTATATTAGCATTCTATATCATTTATAATACCTAGATATGTTTTAAAATGCAATTTAAAGCATTTTTGGTTTTGATCATAGGAGGCTATTTTCAAAAAAATATCGATTTTATATCTATATTAGCATTCTATATCATTTATAATACCTAGATATGTTTTAAAATGCAATTTAAAGCATTTTTGGTTTTGATCATAGTAGGCTATTTTCCAAAAAATATCGATTTTATATCTATAATAGCATTCTTTATCATTTATAATACTTAGATATGTTTTAAAATGCAATTTAAAGCAATTTTGGTTTTGATCATAGTAGGCTATTTTCCAAAAAATATCGATTTTATATCTATATTAGCATTTTTTATCATTTATAATACTTAGATATGTTTTAAAATGCAATTTAAAGCATTTTTGGTTTTGATCATAGTAGGCTATTTTCCAAAAAATATCGATTTTATATCTATATTAGCATTCTATATCATTTATTATACCTAGATATGTTTTAAAATGCAATTTAAAGCATTTTTGGTTTTGATCATAGTAGGCTATTTTCAAAAAAATATCGATTTTATATCTATATTAGCATTCTATATCATTTATTATACCTAGATATGTTTTAAAATGCAATTTAAAGCATTTTTGGTTTTGATCATAGTAGGCTATTTTCAAAAAAATATCAATTTTATATCTATATTAGCATTCTATATCATTTATTATACCTAGAATATGCCTTAAGTTAAGATTTTTAATCTGGCATTTAAAAGATGTAGTGTTATTAATATGTTGTTTTTGAATTTTTGAACATTTTTTCCGAATCTGAATCATTGTGGTCTGGAGCCAATAAGCAAGATCCAGTCCAAGTACTATAATTAAGCATTTTTAAGTTTCCGAAATGCTTGAATATTGTATTGTCATCGAAAAGATAAGTGCATGCAAAATTTCAGCTCGATTGGAGCAGTAGAAGATGTCGAAAAATCGATCGCAAGATTTGACCAAGACAAGCAGAAAGACAAGAAAAGCAAGTTAAGAAAAACGTGGTAAAATAATAATAATAAAAAACGTGGTAAAAAAGGCAGAGTTGTCACCTATGAATTTCCTATCAAAGGCAAACATCTATCCCTGGCATTGCCATTTCTATCCCAGCCAAAAGCTACCATGCTCTATTGAGGAAGCTTTCCAAAGGTCCCTATCAGACAACTCTGCAATAAGGCATTGTTTGTATTGCCTAAAGCTTCCAAAACCTTTATCCTGCAAATTTTCTCATGAACCAGTCTGAAAAATTCTAAATCATCGATTGTTGAGTAGCTTACTACCAAACAATGTTTGGAATACGTTATGATGTTTTTTAGTCAACTGATTTTCCACATTATTCGTTGCTTCCTGTTTTATCATATTGACAGACTTCATGATCTTTTGTGCACTATTTTTGTAACACCAGAATTATAATATCTTATTGAATAACAAACTTTACTGGATGAAAGTGCTACGCAGCTATAGTATGAGAAAGAAAGATACAGCTTTGAAGGAAATGAAAAATGTTTTATTTTCTTCATTTTTATAAAGATTTTCATTTCACATTAAAAATTTAGAATTTTCTTGCATAATACATATATCATGTAATAAGTATTTATATATATTTATGTATTTAAAGTAAGTAAGTAATAATCGAAATATTCGGAATTATTAGCATTAATCATAAAAAGATGTTGAATTCATACTTAGTTTAGTTAACTTTCTTCAAGTGATAATTTAATGGCAAGTTCAATCATTCGGTTCTCTTCCATCATCAGCTCATTTTCTTTAAGTTTCTCAGCTCTCGATAATCTTAACGCTAATTCCATATTTTCATCTATACTCTCACTCTGTGAATTATCTTCTTGATCTGGTGAACTTCGTGTCGGACAGGAGTACAAAAGTGATTCTTGAAGAGCCCTATAGTAAATGATACAAGTGATATGGAAATTGGTGGACATAAACTAGCGATAATAATTTTCATCATATAAGCTATAAAGAGGTAATTGCTTTTTCGTCAAATAAATAATGTGGCGTAGTACAAAAGCACAGAATGTGATGTATAATTCGAATTTTTTTTAAGTTTGTAGCATAATGGCATGTTATTTGAAGAATCTTTTGAAAGGCGAGGATACTCTAGGAAAATTAACAACACCAAGTGAATGACGTCGTGTTTCGTTGCTTTTACTAACAAGCATACGAGCATACACAAAGAGGAAATTTATGAATTTACAGACAAAAATTAGAGGAAGCAATGGATGTAACAAAAGAAGAAATTTTGAAGTTAAAGCAAATATTTTTTTTAAAGTTCCAAATTAATTACCGTTGTAGTTCACGTGTCTCTTCGTCCATCGCATAGAATCCAGATCCGTAATTTGGAGTTACTGGACGCTGACATTTAAGTGCTTCCCATATATCGACCTAGAAAAGTTGCAAATTAATAAGTAGGTGTTAATAAATAAATGGACTAGAAATGAAGCACCATGAATTATAGAATATACCTCTTCATTTTCACTTCCAGCTTCCATAAGACTTTGTCTTATTGCGAATTCTAACAATTCATCCTCATCTTCGAAGCCCAAGCCTTGATGACTATAATCAATTGCTCTATTCGTGTAATTTTGAGGAACTTCAAAGCAAGCTTCATCCACTACACATGTCAAACGATCGTCCGATTCTCGTAAGTTTGAAACAAACGGAACTGGATTATCAAGAGCAAAGACATTACCGAATGTAATGAGAGCATTTAGGACATGAAATAATGGAATTTCAATTTTAACTGGAAAACCACTTGGAAGCTGCATTGTAATGAAATCCTTAAGCTTTGATATATGAGGTGATGCCAAAGTACTCATTAAATCCAAAATTGGAAGAATTTGTTCCTGTAATTTGATAGGAAATTCGTCAGACAACCACAAATTGGCCTTAAATCTTTGAACTTTTGTCTGAACTTTCTTTGGCTTTCCAATATCACGTCCATTGAGATCATCACCAGAGAAATATTCTTCAACTGTCACTGATTCGAGACACTTTTCAACAATGGGTGACAAAGAACCGCCACATGCTTCGTTCATGCCTATAGCATTTTCAGCTATTGGAGATGATGAATTTGTTGGACTACTACCTTGATTTTCATCATCAGCCATTCCAAGAAAATGTTGCAATGGTGTTCGTGCATTTCTCGAATGGCTTTGATTTTCAGCCAAATGCTCTGTTCTTGTACGAGTTATAAATTCAACATTAGATGCATTATATACTCTACAATCGTAGCCATTAATATTCTCATTCTTTTCATTCTTCCACGCAAACCATCCAGATTTGTTCCTTTCAAAGCTTATCTTCTCAATGTCAATCGAATTACTGATAATTGGAGTTTGAAGACGCACTTGAATTGAATCTTTGCTTGGTGGAATTCCATTTGTAAATAATTCTACATCTATATCTTTCATCACTTCCATAGAATACTCTTTTGTATCGTGATCAATCTCATAAAAGTGAGCTTCATCATTAGATCCTTTAAATAAATAGCTGCGATTTCCTCTCTGCCATGACGTTTGATCGAATCCAATAAGAGTTGTGTCAATGCGAACATTCGACCCTTTTTTGTATACCTTGTATGTATCACTGAAATTCAAAGGTTTTACAATGTCAGTATGCATGTATGTAAATTCATTAGTACTTAAAATAATGAGCACATACCTTGGGCAAACTTTTGACATTAAAGGAATCCACGACGAAAATTGCCAATTCATTTCAAGATAGAAATCAGGTGTAAGCTTCAATTTTGTAAGTAATTCGGGAACTTGCAGTGAGCGATTTTTTTGTCTCCATAAATCACGAAAGGAAATGATGGATGTTAAAATTTCCAAGTCACCACTACTAACAGCTTCTTGGGATATTGTCCATCCATTACACTCTGTAAAAGTGTTGGCCTTAGCTCCTAATAATATCTGAAATAATTTATGTGAAATCAATAATATTATACGCCTATTTTTATGCTATCATAATGTGCTGAGTACTTATGATTCATACAGGAGAGAAAAAATAAAATTTTATAATATCAATAAACTGATAAGAAAATAAATAAAAATTACCTTCACACTTTGAGTATGAGATAAAACAACAGCTAGCATTAATGGAGTTCTCTTTCTTGGATCCAATGCCTCTATATCATGCTGGAATTAATTTAATTAATCATAAAACTAATTGAATTAATAACAATATTTCAGAATCTTACTTTATTTTCTTTTAAGATCTTTTCCAGCTCTTCGTAGTCATTTCTCCATACTAAATAATGAAGAGGATACTTCTCCTTAATTTCACTGACTAGCATAATTGTGAATTATGTGAATGTTATAAGGAAAACGACGGAATTTTGATAAAAACTATTTTTTTAATGTTGAAAAAGACTTTTTTTTTCAGTTCTCTAAATTCTTAAGTCTTCAATTTGCAGCAAGGGATGAACATTTCTTTATTGCAAATTATGGACTTTGCTTCTAGGGCTTGTAAGTTCTTGTAGTTTTAAGAAGAAATAACTAGTATTAGATACCTAATTCCTTTATCCTGCATTATTTTTAAATCATACAGCAACTAAGATTTGAAAACAAATTCATTGAATTGACAAATTTTGATAGCCAATTGTGTTGACACTGGTTTATCATTAAGCGCTGGGAGTTGGCAAACAGAATCACGTTTAAGTGCTTAAATAATTTAAGATAGCTTAAAAGAAATCTTTCAAAAATCTTATCAAATTTTTGATAAAAATAAGTTAACAGCACAAAAGCATATTCTTATAAGGAACAAAATTAATTAAACTTATCACACTCATCTGACAATCCATTTAAGGAATAAATTGTCACGATAGCATGTTATTAAGTAATTGACTCTGTTTATTGTGAAAATAGAACATGTTAAAAGCTATGGACTGTTAAAAGCAACAGAAGTTTTGGAAAAACCAAATTAATTAAATTTATTTCAAGAAAGGTCAATATATAAAAGCTTTGGCACTAATCGATCGTTTACAGTAATCTTGTGTGAAATTTCCATCCTATCATTGCTGGCTGCAAAATAAGAATGACCCGAAATATTATCATGGATGGGATTTCCTGATGTTTCAGATTTACTTTGGAATCTCAAAAAAAAAACCACTTTCATCAATGTTTTAAATATAGCAGCACAATAATTCAAACAGCAACAAACAGGTTGTTTTGACGTCTGTAAATTTTGAAAATTTGCATGCTGAAAGGTTAAAGCGATATCGAATATTAGATTAAATTTAATATTATTTAAAGAGAATATATAAGATTTTTCAAATCTAATCTATTTCTAAAACTTTATTACACATTTTGTGCTTCTTCTTCTTGCACTCATTTTTGCTTAACAGATTCTGATAAACATTAACTGCCAATCCAAAAATTATTATTGCGAAAACATAAAAATTCTAGTTAAAAATTAAAACAATATTTTTAATGAATAAAAAATCAACAGTCAAATTGGCGAACTAGCGACTTTGTAAATATGATGACACTACCACGATAATAGCAAGAGGTCTGTTCAGTAGAAGAACCATTTAATGGTCCAAAATTCTCAAGTTTCCAGAGACAATCTTGTTTTCAAGAATAGCACCTGGTGGAATATCAATACGATCTCCATGATTTGCAATAATAATGACAGTTCCACGAAGTGACACGCCACGACCAAAAGTCACATCTCCCGATACAGTCAAGTGATCCAATTCAATAATGTCAGGAATATTTGCAAAACGTCCCAAAAATTCTTTGACTTTGCTGAAATGATTGTCACCCAGTTTAACCAATGGCGTAGTTGGAAACATTCTTTGTGGAGACATAACAAGAGAGCCAGATTTTAAATGATACAAATTTGACATTACAAGCAACAGATCAGAAGTTTTCTTTACAGGCAAGAAACGAGAACGAGGAACATTAATTCCAATGGCATTTTCAAAACATTTCATTGCAGCACCAACAGCCGTCTCCAATTGAATGACTCTCAAGCCATTATCTAATGTCTTATTGTTCACAATAATTTCCGTATTCATTGATTTCTCGTTTAATACTCTTTCAATTGCATCCAATTTCGCCCAAATATTATTAGTGTTGAAGAATTTGAAGGTCTTGACTGATTTGAACTCATCAACATGCTCGTTTGGAACTTGAGCAATTTCCAAAAGTCTCAATTTGTTTTCATACTGAATAAGAGTACCACCCTTAACGTCAGCACGAGTCTTATCAGTGACTTCCATAACAAATTCATGACAAACTCCATCTGTTTCGCCGACTAAGCGATTAAGGATGCCAAGATCAATTGTTGCGCCCAAGTTATCAATATTTGACAGGAACAAATATTCACGTCCTTCATTGATGAATTGCTTCAATAAGCCAGACTTTTGGAACGATTCGTAGAAGTCTCCGTGACCTGTAGTACGAATTAATAAAAGAAGATTAAACAATTGCCGTTATGAAAATCTAAGTATGCAAGACTAGGATCAATGTTTTGAAAATTTCTGTAACTGATTCAATAAAACAGCATCAGGTTGTAAATAATATGTAGATCAAATATTGTACATAGAAAGATATTTAAAACACTAAGTATAAACACTGATAATTTCAAATAATAACAATAACAGTTAATGAAAAAAATCAAAACATTCATCACCAGAAAGTCAAAGGGGAAATAATAACAAATGATTACTTAACTGGCGGATACCATGCTTCCATATTATCTTCAATCTCATATTTTCGTGCAACAGGTAGAAGAGAATCGCGTGAAATACGTGGAAATGCGCTTTGATTGAAACTATAAATGTTGACTTGAAAGCCTTTATATTTTCGTACAATTTTTTCCGTATCCTCATCTGTATTAAACGAGTTCATTAATACCAAAGGAACATTTGCATTGTACGTCTTATTGAGACTCTATAATGATATGTTTGATGATTTTTAAGTAGTCAATAAACAAAATCTCTCTAGTATAGTCGTAAATAATTAAACACTCACTTCAATCTGCTGTACAGTCAAGTCCAAAAATGTCAAGTCATTCCTTACTGGAATCACACTTTTTGGTCCGTGACATCCCATGGATGTTCCCAAACCACCGTTGAGTTTTACAACAACAAGTTTGTTGAGCATTAAACGGATTTGGTCATTGTTTGTTGGCGTTTGGAGATGACTATAATCCTTTACGGCTCCTTCAGGAAGTTTTTCAATTCTATTCCATGCAACTGATGGTCCATCTTCTTGCAAAAACCTTCCGAAAAGCCCAGCAAAACTTGTCATTTCCTCACGAAATGCATCTTTCTTATCTGCAGGAGATGTTTCAATCAGCTTATCAAGTTCACGTTCCAATTGCTTCAAAGCATCCCGCTTAGTGACTTCGTGAAATTCTTTTGCATCACTTGGAACACGAGAGTGTGTACGACTCTGTAATTATTTCAACAAAAAAAAAGCGATAAGTTTAATTTTTTTGGACAAGATTAATTAACGTGTCAAAAGAAAGAAAGAAAGGAAGGAAGAAGACCTTCTCAACATCCAAATACTCATATTTCTTAACTGCTCCACCACCATGTTGATGTGCATCAGAATGATCACACACAACACTTACAAGCGGCAATTTAATCATCACAAAAAAAAAAATCAAGTACCAAAAATAATAAATCAAAAAAATTATAATTTAAATATGGAAATAAATTCTATTTTTTAATCCTCCGAATTGACCGAGTGCTGAACAGATACTAAGGAATCGCTCTATCATTCATAATTTTTTTTCCATTCATTGTCTCATGGAACTTAATGTGTTATTATTATCATTATTACTGTTGTTGTTGTTATTTTCATATTCTCATTATTGGATGTGCTGCCTTCTATATGAGATTTATTTAGACTCGTCATATTCGCAAGCACAACTTACTATCGTTAATCGTTAACCTTCATTTGACACTATGGAATAGTGACCATAAACAAATATATTTGCGCTACACTCATATTGCGAATTTTTACATTAATGGACCCTCAGATTCCATAAAAGTTTGTCGACAATTATAAACGAACCCAAGCTTGTTACGAGAAAGCCCAGAAACATGCAAACAACAGTCTAGTCCACCAATATAAATAAATTTTACGATTAATCACCAAAAATGTGACTTAATGATCCTCAAACGAACGCTTTAATCAATTTCTTTTTTTAAAAAAAATTCCACAGTGAATTTGTGACAAAACAAGCTCATTTGTGCAGTCTATCTATTATTAATAGCAGCACACTTGATTCGTTATCAATTAACACGCGATTGAAATTAACTCGTTTAAAGTTCTTGATAAAAAATTAAATTTTTAAAAATTTGGAATTAACAGCAAAATAACGTTCACAAATTAATATTTTTGGGACCCACGATTAATCTGTAGACATACTCATCATTTTTCAGGAGAATTTCATTTTAAACATAGAATTGAATGTAATGTAGGGTTTTGCTTAGAGCAAAAACGGCACTGCGAATAATGTCCTGATAATGCTGCCTCCTAATATCTTCATCATTTATATAATCTAATATATAAAAGCCCAACTCAATGATTCGCTGACTCTGGAACGGAAGCCATGTGAAGACATTTGTGAAGCCGTGTGAAGACAAAAATTTAAGGAGTGTTCACAAGGTGGTTGTCAGGTGTGGGGTGGGTGTCAGGTAGGGGGTGGGGACAAGGTAGATGTCGATATATTTTGTGAAGCCAATGATGTGAGGGGTGCTGACAAGGTGGGTGTCAGTTGTGGGGGGAGTGACAAAGTGGGTGTCAGGTGAAAGGTGGGTGTCAGGTGGGGATTGGGGCCAAGGGAGGTGACAGGTATATTTTGTGAAGCCAATGATTTGAGGAGTGCTGACAAGGTGGGTGTCAGTTGGGGGAGGGTCCGAATCTTAGGGGGTTTGTGGAAAAAGTTTGGTGTCAGGAATATTTTGTGAAGCAATATAAAATTTTTTGAAGCCATGTGAAGTTTTGTGAAGCCATGCGAAGCTTTATGAAAAGACATGGTGGGTTTCGGGGAAATTAAAGTTGTAGTGGGATTAAGAGGGTCCGAGTTTGAGGGGGTTTGTGAAGCCATTTATAAAATTTTTGTGGGATTAAGTCTGAATTTGAGGAGATTTGTGAAGCCATGTGAAGTTTTGTGAAGCTATTTATAAAGTTTTTGCGGGATTAAGGAAGTCCGAGATTGAGGGAGTTTGTGAAGCCATTTATTAAGTTTTAGTGGGATTAGGGGGTTCGAGTTCGAGGGGGTTTGTGAAGCCATGTGAAGTTTTGTGAAGCTATTTATAAAGTTTTTGCGGGATTAAGGAAGTCCGAGATTGAGGGAGTTTGTGAAGCCATTTATTAAGTTTTAGTGGGATTAGGGGGTTCGAGTTCGAGGGGGTTTGTGAAGCCATGTGAAGTTTTGTGAAGCTATTTATAAAGTTTTTGCGGGATTAAGGAAGTCCGAGATTGAGGGAGTTTGTGAAGCCATTTATTAAGTTTTAGTGGGTTCGAGTTCGAGGGGGTTTGTGAAGCCATGTGAAGTTTTGTGGTAGGATTGACCTTAAAAACATTATGGTAATTTGCGTCTTACAGTTATTTACATTATAGTAATCAAATTTTAACCCTGATAAGAGGCGCCACGGGCGCCTCTGGAGAGCCTAGTTTTAAATATAATACCCGACAGATTTTTAAAATTCATAATAAATTGCAGATAAAGTAAGTGAGAATAAACGGAGATGCATTAATTAATTATATTTTCGCTCATACTCTTCAGCATACTGTTTATATACTAATATACTTTTGTTTATGTTTTCCGTCTGCACATGAGTACTTATTCATAAGTAAACACATGCTTGGGTCAAGTTCAAAATGCCGCCGACTCAATCTTCTTTCCCTTCGTCAGCATTGATGATTGTATTTTTTCAGAGTATTTTATCTGCGCTTTGATATGTCTAAGAAATTCGTATTACAAAATTTTTACTGTTTTATTTTGAATTAATGTTTTAAACATGTCTTAATTTTTTGAATATTGTCAAACCGTTACAATTTTATGCTAAGTTCAGCTGAAGAATTAATTTGTAATTTAAATGAAATTTCAGCATTTATATAATAATCCTCAATATGCTTATTTGCTTATTCCGTTTTGTACTTCAAATTATGAACAAAAAATAAATTCAAATTTGTGTTTTCAAAATCAAAAAGGAATACTCGAATCAATAATTGCGATATGTGCTGTTCTAGTTCATTACAAAAGAGATAAATTGTTTAAATGTGTTAAACGTCATGTCCAATAATGTCGACAATTATGAAATTACTGTTCAAGGCTGATGAGAACTTTTTGTGACTGGATAACAATAATTCTTGATGCTCTTTGTTTTATGTTACTTAATGTTAAATAATAGATAAATTAATTCAAACATATTCTTTGCGTGTCTTTTAAACACAAAAAAAATATAAATCAATTGTTCATTCAACCCCGTATCGTGAAGCAATTCTATTTTAATTATTTTAAATTTTTATCATTTGGAACCAAAACTTTTACCTTCTAAAAGTCATTAAAATTAGTTCACGATTTTTCATGCACTTAGGTCATCAAGAAAGTGCCTGATAAGGCATTTAAATATTTCTAGCTACTAATCTATAAATCTACTGACGTAAATCAACTGAATATATAAATTATTTAGGCAGATTTGTATTTAGTCAAATGTGTATTTTAAGATTGAAGCGTAGTATAAAAATAAACAGTGCAATTGAGTGATTTGTGATTATGAATTTATTTACGTATTAAAGGCTCTAAAATTTTAATTGAGCAAATTTTTTTTTCGTGTAGTTTGTTGGAAAATGATATCTACATTTTTGGACATATATTTTCTGACTCTACCTTTTTATCAGGAAAATTCAGTTTGAGACTGTCCAGCATTTGAGAATCAACTGTACAATACATCCTGAGGATATCGAAGTAAGGAAAAAACTCTCTTTTAATAATTTTATTTTTGAGGTATCAGAGTATTTAAGTATGCATGCATGTTGCCCATGGCAGGTCTTTTTTAATCCAAAGCTTTATATAAAATGATAATCAAAGCACTAATTATTGATGAAGAATAAATGTTTAATTATTGGGGTGTATAAAATTTACTTCGGCTATTTAATCTTATTTTACAGCACAGACATTATCCACATTGATAACATTTGTATCAGTGCATCGTCTTTTATCAATATTTGAGAAGCACTTACTTTGAAAATTATATCAAAAACTCCATTCATATTTTAATGCCAAAGAGAATGATGAATTTATTGCTATAATATATTTTTTAAGCTATCACTTCGTAAAGAACTCTGAATTAACTAATAGAAAATAGCTCATGGAATGAAAGCTTTATATGGACATGAAAATTTAAGGATAATTTTTGCACGAATTTTTTTATTATTGCTGTCACGAAAAGTTATTGCTCTGAAATTGAGTTGTCCATTAGCACTGATTTTTAATTGAAAACTTTATAAGTACTATATGCCGATGAAGTAATTATTATCGCAGAATTAAAAAGAAAAAAAAAGAACTGATATCAGTTCTTGATGTCGGACCAAATTTGAGAGAGAATTTCCGATCATTAAATAAACCCCAAGCGTAAATTTCATTTGAGACATGAAATATATGTCTCAAACTGATCAGTACAATGATGACATTCGTTTACTTCCCTCCAAGTGAAACAATGTATAAAACACTTGTTTAACTATCGTAAAATAAAAATAAATACATTGCATGATCGTTGAATAGAGCAAGTGATAACATAAGTCATAGCTCAAAATTATTTATGAAAAATTAGGCATGTGCGATATACAGTTTAATCATTTTGTTTTTAAAGATTCCTTCCGAAATAAAATCATGACGCAAATAATGCTGCACGTGAATTAATTTATAAATAGTAAAATAGTAGTAAACAGCATCTTCTTAATATTATTATTTTCACTTTCATTCTATGAACAGCACAGACTTGTGTACGTTATTAAAATCTGCTGTATTATGACCTTGGCAAAATAATACTTAATAATCGTGTGTATACAGGAAATGATGAACACATCATTATATTTACCATATCAATAATGTGTTTTGATGTTGGAGGCATTTCTTTAGTTTAATTTATAACACGGAATGATTAGAAATAAGAATAACTGAGAATAACAAAAAATCCAAAAAAACAACAAATAAATGAGTTCTTATCGAATGGAGTTTCCACGAGCGACTAAAGCAGTTACGCACTGTGTAAAAGCTTTTGGATGTTCTTATCAATTTATAAAAGCCGATAAATAATTGTATAACTCACGAAAAGATAGTCAGCCAAGGTTATTATGAAGGTTATCGACAAAAACAAAAAAGTTTATTGCCCTTTTTACACGTTAATTCATCAAGTTATGAATCATCTTCAATCATTTAAGTTTATTTAAATAATGTTTAATTGATACTCACCTTTTTATCTTCCACTTTAAGCATCTTTTATCTATTATTCGATGAAAATATTTTTCAGATCTATTTTCCTCTAATTCTGTTGACTGCTGAATAATTAGATATCCAGAAATGACGTTCGTCTATTGTTATGATTTGAATTGTCAATTAAAACTGAAGATAGTCTACACTTTTTAAACTTAACCAGCTATATCTAGTTTAAATATACTCATTTGATTGTAAATTATGTTAAATCATGTCCTGAATTGTGATATTTTAGCGAAATAAATCTTTGTTTTTGCTGAATTATGCAACATCCATCAATGATGTGAATTTCGTTACAATAAATAAAAAGTTGAATTAGAATCAAATAATTTTGTGACTTATGTTTAACCAAGGAAATTGTGAAAATCATTAATTAAAGCACTTAATTATTATTATGCTAGTTTAATTCATGAGAATAACGGCTTTTTAAAACTTTGAAACTTCTCTGAGATGACTACTTTGTATTTATTAATATAATTATCTTCAACTGTCAAAATTGCTCTATCATTCCAAACCGATGATTTGTTTGAAAATTGATCTTTATAATTATGAAAATTAAATATAAACCAAGAAGATAATATAGCCAAAGTGGTCACAAAAATTTCTATGCAGTTATACTTGACGAGTCAATATTTTAGTGAAACTTGTGTAAACATAGAAAAAATTCTTTAATTAAAATTTTATTCGTTTAATAATTGTTATCTAAACCACAAGAAATGAATGTGATTTACATGATTGTGTGACTTAAACTTACTGAGTTGTTCAACTCGCACGCAATGGATCAGTTTCAAATCTCAGTATATACATCATTGGGATGTTGCTTCTTTCTTTCATGCTTATATGTTGCAAGGTGAGTCATTTTACTCGATGTAAAAAAAGATACAGTTTGAGATAAGCTAATTTTTGATCAATTTGCAGCCTTTACGTATGGAGTCCAGAAGAAAATCGGTAAGGAAAATTAATGCTGTGTTTTGTTCCAAAATCATTACTCATCAATCATTTATACTATTTTTAGCGATCATCCATCAACGATAAAAAAGCGATTTTTCAGTGTATTTATAGTTATGCTACTTTCGCCACTATTTATCTATCTCTTTTCGTCTCCTGATTTACTTAAAAACTATACAATCTGGTATGTGATGGGATTAAGAACCGATGGATTTCTTTCTGCTCTTATCTATCCACTATTGTTGACTGTCGTGCTGTTTCTCGGCCCATTGAGTGTTCAACTCACAAATGGTATTTGGAAAATTTATTCAGGTAAGATCTCAAGTTTCGACTTAAAGATAATAAGCTAATTTGGAATCGATAAACTTTTCAGAACCAATGTTTTGGCTAAATTACTGCCAGAATCTGTTATGGCTAAGAAATCATGTTGTAGCACCTCTTTCTGAGGAATTTACTTTTAGAGCATGTATGCTTCCATTATTACTTCAAAGTTTTACCCCCGTAACTTCTATCTTCATTACACCACTGTTCTTTGGTGTAGCCCATTTGCATCATGTTTTTGAGCGAATAAGAACTGGAATGGACAAAAAAACAGCTATAATAATCTCATTTTTCCAGTTCTTCTACACTTCTGTTTTTGGAATATACTCGGCATATCTATTTGTCAGGACAGGACATTTTGTTGCACCATTTATAGCACACGCATTTTGCAATCACATGGGATTTCCTGATATACCCGATCTTTTAGCACAATCAGAACCGAAGAGGGGAATTTTTTTAATTCTCTACATACTAGGACTTGCTGGATTTATTTGCCTCCTTCCCACCATGACCGAACCAACTTGGTATCTAAATAATCAATTTTGGTACAATCACACGAACCCAAAGTTAAATGTAAGCATTTAAATGCAACACAGTCATCACTTTATTGAGTATTAAATTATTAGCATTTTCTTAAACATGCTCGAGTGATCTTTTTACTTCTTTCTTGTAGAATCATATTCGAATTTTTTTTTTGAAGACATCACACGATTCAAATTTGATTATACATGCAAGAAGTGATTATGAGTGATAAGCTCATTATATTTAACTTTTACTATTCAATCCAAGTTTAGGAAATCTTCAACTATTGTAAACATTTTGTGTTTTTCTCTTAGAAAACTTGACGAATTTAGCATGTCCTTAGCATATGATGTCCATTAAAAATTGGATTTTAGAGAGACAGTTATGTATGATCATGTTCATAATCTATGAAGTCGAACTCTGAAATTTGTTAAAGAGTGTCTTTCAGCTCCTTAAATCATTGTATCAAGTTTGACTTTGTTGATTCATAGCTGTGATTAAGACAATTTTTGAATGACAAATTTGAAATTAGCATCAGAAATTAAAATTTTCAACTGACATAATTCGTGAATGACCTCCTTTTATCCTATTGAATTTCCCTTTTGAGATTAGTCATGTCACTTGACAAAACTTAGAACAGAGAACCTGAAAAAAATAATTGTTCGCCATCGAAATGTAAATTGAAAGAGTTGTGGCTTATAGAAAAAAGGAATAAGTATTCATGAAAATAGCAAGTAATAAAAAAAAAGTGTATATATGAAGATTTAAATAAAAAATTTATTATAAAAAAAATTAATTGTATAGAATATAAAAAGTAAAAAATAAATCAGCAACAAGTGAAAAGGTTTTACTAAAAATGCATCAAAACACTAAAGTTATTTAGAATTGTTAATTCTTTACACGCCTTAAATTAAATAAAGGTCTTTTATAAAGTACATGAATTTTTTTCTTATTTGTTCACTTACGTTTTCAGCATCTAGCAATGAAAAAAAAAAAAACAAGACTTAAATATCGGTTAATGATTTCATGAAAACTTGTTCACACAAGATGTAAAAAAGTAAGGTAAAATAAGAAGAAAATTTATATCTATTTACACAGCATTAATCGTACATATTACACATAAATCATATGTGTGGATTGACGGTGAGAGTTTAATACATAGCTAAATAAATAAATAAGTGATATAGTCATAAGAAATGGAAATCAGGTCACTTTTCATGGAAGAATGAAAATTGTTTTATCATAAGGGGCCGTTCACTTATTACGTTACGCAAAAAAACGACTTTTTTCAGCCCCCCCCCTTGTAACAATATGTTACAATTCACAAGCCCCCCCCCCCCTGAACGTTCATAATTTATTTTATTTTGATAAAAAGGTGAAAAATTTAAAAAAATGTTTTTGGTGTGAATTTGTAAACAATTTTTTTTCGTGAACTTTTTTTTAAAAGACAGACGACAGTTAGAATGTTACATACTTCTTGACACCCCCCCCCCCCCTCTATGCTACATTTTGTTACAATTTTTCAATCCCCCCTCCCCACTAAATGTAATAAGTAAACGGCCCCTAATTGTTACGACCACTTAAATCATGGCGCGCTACTACGGATGCACATGTTTTACTTCCAATGCGTAGAACGAAATCACATGCGGCTTCGTAAATTTATTTTATGTACAGGAACAATACTTAAATTTTATTAAAATAACCTTTTTAACTTAAAATGCTTATGAAGAAAATTTGTGATTTCTTGGAAAGTTGTTCATCTCACCGTTCCACATGACAGGAGATGACTGACTAAAATTTATCTCTCCACCAACATGAAACTCTCTATACCTTTGAGTATCATGCCGTCTTTGAAATAAATCTTCAGTTCTTGGATCTTTTTCGAGAGACTTTTGAATTGAAACTATTTGGAAGTCATCGCCCAATGCTTGTCTTAAAGCCGGATTCCTTCGTGCAGCTTTTAATGTTGAATGTATTTCATGTAATTGTGATGGAGATGAAGATTTTCTGTGATTTCTTTGTGAGTCAAAGTTCAAAAAGTCATCGGAATTGAGAGCAATTTCATGAAAATCGTTATTTGTTGATTCTGTAAATGCATCACGTAAGTCATCAGTGTCTAAATTATGCTCTTGTGAAAGTTTTCCTCGGTTTCTTTTTCCGAATGCTCCCTTCTTATTATATCTTCTTGTTGTGGAAAATTCCGTAGTTGTCGTTGTCGATTTTGTGGTTCTTGGACGTCTAGTAGTTGTGCTGTATGTATATTCCAAATTATCATATTCATCGTCTCCGTCATCCTCTAATCCTATTAATGGATTTTTATGATTTCTAAAGTCATAATCATAATTATTGAATTTATTAAATCGATTCTTTTGTGTGTTAGACGTCGATAAGACATTTTTGGAATCACCTAAATCAATATTACTAAAATCACTCGTGAAGCTATTACTGTTGAGTGGATTATGACGTATAGGCGTCGAAAATTCACTTTCTTCATATTTGGATGGTAATTTTGGGAAGTTGTGTGCTACTTGATTATTCTTATTGATTTGATTCAATATGCTTGCTACATTTGAATTAAATTGATAGCTGCTTGTATCAGGTGTACTTGCACTCTTAATTGGCTCTCCATAGGATGTTTTTTGAACATCAAAACTAGATCCATCACTTAAGGGAAAATTTCCAATTGCAGGTGAATATTTTGTTACATCATTTGTGCTGTAAAAGTTTGATGATGCTGGCTCAAGAGCATTAATTGTAAATGTCGGAAAATTGTGCTGTTGTTGCTGTAAAGTCACTGGCTGAACAAAATGAGAATCAATATGATTAATTGTGGGTGGACCATAAGAAGGTGAAACTGATTCAAGTTGCTTAGTTGGAGGTCTCTTTGGTGGTCGTCTTGATTTTGGATTATAATCATATGAAGGATTACTTTTTGGTGGTGGTCCATTTTTAACTTTAGGTGAGCTTGCTCTAAAATTTTTTGAAGGAAATGGTGGGAATCTTGAATCGTTTGAAGAGAAATCTTTAAAACCACCAAAGTGGCTTGGATTTGATGATGATCTGATTTTAGATCGGTATTGGTTCGATGGTCGACGACGCCGTGTGCTTGGTTTTCTCTTATTTCTGTTACCGTTCGTATGAATCACCACAACATCATCTTTCCGCTCAATTACTTTAAATGGTCTTAAAGGCACATGCTTGTGAATTACTAATGTTAGGGCTTCCGCTTTAGGTAGCTGATCATCAACACTTTCACTCTTTTCTGTAGATGATACGACATTTGTGTCCACACGTACTGCATAAAAGCTATGGATAAGTGATATAAATATCACCTGTAATAAAACAGAACTGAATGAGTAAATAATAAGTTATAATTATTGTTATGTGAAAATTTTCTATTCCACATTATGCTGAATATATTCCACAATTTTTCGTTTGCATCTATCAAATTATTCATATGCGAAAGACCGTTTAATGCAATTTATTGTAAGTTGTTATGAAAACATGTTTTCATTTTCTTTTCACTCTCAATTTGTCCTCCTTTTTCTGTGTATTATGAGACTCTTTTATATCATGTGCGATTTCTTCTTACTTCTTTTGGTCTTTATTTAACAAGAAATGAAAAATATTCATAGAGTTAAAGAGGTATATTAGCACTAATTTACTTTCATTTAGTCAATTTTTCAGCTGGTTTGATTAGAAATAAAATTTCCATCACCTTTCATGTTAATCAATTGTTTACTGATGGATGTCTTAATTTGTTATATGATGCGGAAAATTATACTCTTTCCTCTGTAATTGAATTTAGACATTTGAAACAATTTGAAAGCTTAAAGAGTCATGGAATATTATTCAAATTTTGCAATTATATAGGAAGGAAATAGCAGATTTAAAAACGTGATGTTTAGGTACTGCTTAAACAAGTTTAAAATTAATTGAATCAAATGAGTACATCAGCATGAAATTATTATTTAATTGAAACTCATCAAAGTACTTAAAGTGATGTAAGACATTTATTTTAATGTAATGGAACTACGCGCAAGTGATTTAAACATACTGGAAATGCGATCTTCTTGACAACGTTTCTATCATATTCACAGCTTTTTCTATCTCCATAAATCATTCATATTTGCATGTCTGATGTTCAGTTTCAAGAGGTTTTAAGATATTGATTTAGATATTTTTGGAAACTTTTATGAAATGGCATGCATGATTGATTTCGATAAGCAATCTTGAGTTTGACTCTATCTTAATCCCAAGAATGTCAAAATTTCAGAAATTTTAAAAATTTATATTAAATTTAAAAGTCAAGTTAAATGCTCAAAAAAGTTTTGAGCTCTCTTTAATCATCCAGTACACCTAGAAGCTGGTAGAAGAAATTCGAGATTTCTACATCATTTTCTTCAGTCATTGAACTTTAATTTCTTTTTATTGAAGACAATCATCATATTAACATAATAATTTGTAGCACTAAAATTTGCAAGTGTTGAGCATACTTTTAAATTCAACCTTATAATCATCATTATCAAGCTGCTGGTTTCTTTTATATTTTATATTATGCCAATTATTTCATAATCTACTTTAAATACATCATAAGTTCGAACAATAAATAATTTTTAAATCAATAAAATTTGCACATTAGGATTAAAAATGATATAACTATGAGAATATCATACTTCCGAAGGCAACGAAATTTCAAGATTTTCATTCGTTAAAAAAATCCGAGCACTTAAATTGTCAATGAACTTTAAATCTTTATGTATTGCAACAAAGTCTCGAAAATTACGTGATTAAATAAGTGATTTAGCTGATAGCATCACCATTAAATAATTGTGCATATAATAAAATTAATAAGACGTAGTCTGTGGTTAAGTCATTAAATCTTTTTTTAGTGATAACGTTATCACTTAAATTTTCCATGCTAATAATTAAAAAGCTATTTTTTATATGACTGATTTAAGAGTCAATTTGAGATAAAACGTATCAGTTTTGGGCAAGGTGCATTTTTTGTTCATTTATATGACATACTTATGGTCATGTCTACGCCTATACAAATTGTTTCTTTCGCTTAGGCATGTCTAGGTTAAGGTAATGCTGAGAAAAAAAAATTAAATACAGCTAAGCACTTTTGCAAATAAATTTTTCAGACAACTCTGTATCTGAGGCTATTGGCACACCAATAAAAAATTGCACAAGCATTTTTAAAACAATAATCCAGTAAAGTAATTTGTTTCATCTCATCACAATTAATTAATCACTATTTATAATATAGCTTTTATAAGTTTCTATTATACACATAACAGTCAATTAACAAAATTTTCAATAACTTCATAGTCATATTGATTAATTTCATCGAACACATCTTAAAGTGTTTTACTTCCATACATTAAGCTTGATTTTTTCTCAGACGCAAATATTTCTTACATTATTCACAAGAATTTTCATTCAATGATTTTAGCTAAATAAATTGAGATCATGTGTGACACACTCGATATGATTTTGATTTATTATCTTGTCACAATCTGAATGAATTTATGTTTTTTTTTTATTTTAAATTATTTTTCCCATTTTTATTTTCCATCAAAATCCGTGATCATTGCATTAATTTTATCCATGTCAACATTGCACTCACATTGAATTTTATGCTTGAACAATTTTTTCTTATTTCTTTTCTTTTTCTACTTCCAATAAAATTGCAAATAAGTATTGTCAATTCTATGAACAAAGTTAAGGTTCAATGACATTTTAGGTGATAAAAAGTCGTGACTTGATAGATGCACATGTGGGATTTGAGAGATTGCATTTGCCCTTTCAAAATTTTCACATCTCTTTCATAACATTTAAGAATTGCATGCATACCAAAAACAACTTCCTGTGATGCATATTTTGTCTCCTGTATAATTTTTTTTTTATTGAATCTTCACTTTCTAATTAAATTCACTTTTACTTGACGATTTTCATATATGCTTGTAATTTTACGACTCTTAAGTTTTTCTTTTCACAAGTCTTTACTATTCCTACTCATCAGTCTGCACAGGTTGAGAGTTATGCTTAAACTAAGCCGTTTCATTGCATAGAATCATCATTTTATGAAACAATTTCTTTTTTTCCATTTAACATTCGCATTTTTTCTTTCTTTTTTACTTTCCTATCTCCACTTCTACCGCTGCCATCACCTGGTTGTTGGTTGTTTCCTACCAGTTCCGCAAAAAATTTAAAAAACTGCAGAAAAAAGCGCCGAGATAATAAGATATCGATGATTTAAATAAGAAGCTAGTGTTGACGGTTAGGTATTTAGTTGTGAAAAGAAATGAATAATGACTTGCAAAATTTAAAGAGATTTCATTTTGGTAATTTCCTAAAGTAAACAAATAATGGCTTTTCATGTCAGTGCTAATCAAGAAAATTATTGTTTTTTTTTATGATTAGAGAGGAGTAATGTTCGATCCGATAGATATTGATAGTGATTTGTTTTTCGTTAATAGAATAGATCAAGAGACATAAGAACCTCAAACTTAGACAAACATCACTAATGAACGACTATTAAATTAATTTAGAGTATTTATCAGTTTCGATTCCTTGTTTGTTGAAATGCATCACATAAGTTATGTCAAGTGCAAAGAAAAGCAAAAATAAACTAGAAATGCCAGTTCTATGAACATGTACACATTGCCAATAGAACTCATTTCTAATGAAAATCGAAAGTTTCTTCTTTCATCTTTCTTTCCGCTAGACTAAATGTGCCACTTTAATCTCACAAGTTCAAGTAACTTTCTGCTCAGTCATTATTAGCACCTCAAGCTGTACATGATGCACTCCAGGAGATTACACACGAAGAACAAATGAAAAGTAGCTTCATGCTTATGATATAACAGATGATGAGTATGTATTCCATGAAATGTAAAATTTGTTTCAATTCAGGTCCCAATTCCATTTATACTTGAAGTCACTAGGCCAAAAAAAGTGAGTTAATCATGATCAATTTCCGGCATTTAGGTCGAACATCTTTTAATCCGTTTGTCAAATGACTTTCAATTGTCTTACGAATATGATAATTATTTCACAATCTTTATTTCTAATGTATAATCTCAAATCGTTACATTTGTTAATGTCATCGCAGTTGATAATGTCTTGATTATTCTTTTATTCATTCATTCATTTATTCATTGTTCGTGCATATATGAGACTATGAAATAATCAGCCAAAGGAAAAAATATCGTTTTACAAATGAAACAAGAAGCTTTAGAAGTGCTGCAATCTTAATTACTTTTCTTAATGAGAAAAATTGCTTTTTTGATTATTGTCATTTATTGCGTCACATTTATAGTCATATTGTTATAGTTCTTCGTTCCATTTTGAATAAATTTTCCCTTTCTTCTTCTTTTTCTTACTTTAAATGCCGCACACAAATTCCATTAAATTTTTATGTACGAATGTCAGTTGATTTAAATATCACGTTTCCTTGAATTTTGATGACTTCCCATACATTTTTCAGGACGACTTCATGTCAGATATTGATTAACATACGAACACACTCCGAATTTCAAATAAAAAGTGTGATAAGAATAAAAGAATATAAATGCACGATTCGATTCTTTTGAAACATTCTGGTCGATGAGATATGATTATTAAACTTTTATATCTTCCTGACTTGACGAAATGAGCTTTCATGTTGCTTCTTTAATGTTTTTTCCCTCATTTAACTTTTCTTAATGCATACAATGTTCCAATGTTGCTTCCATGTTTTTAATACAGTAAGTTATAATAATTGAAAGCTACGTGCTTCATGAAAAATTAACTTTTTTTGTTCCACTTTATGATGATAAAAAATTTGATCTCATTTTTCCATCTAACTTGTCATGATATCTGTAGATCTGGCTCTCTGGCTTGCTTTTTCTCTATAAGTACGCATTAATTTGAGCATTTAATTTGCCATTGATACAGCATTAGGAAAAATATATAGAGAGCATGTGTATCAATCAATTTAGATTGCAATAAGCTGCAATTACTCAATTTATGTACCTAAGTATAATTTAATTTTGTGTCAACACTTAATATTTGATTATTTGTAATTGCATCTGATTTTTCTTAATCAGATCTTAATAAAGCATTAAACTTTCCGTGGATTACTAATTTGAATGTATGCGTCGTGACACCAGTTGTTGTTTTGATTAAATAAGTTGTCGTGAAACTTTAAGACTTATTTTGAACTAAGGATTAGTCTATAAAATGATATCTTTCGAATAATGAGTCTTTTTTCTGTTTTATTAACTCAATAGCCTAGAGAAATGACTAAATAAAGGTCCTCAATGTCTCAATCTCACAAAAAGAATTGAAAATTAATTTTTGAATTTTTTTATTTGCTTATTTTTTCACATAAATATTAAATTTTAATGTGAATCACATTCTTTCTGAATCACAATGTCTTTACATTTTCCTATGTAATTATTTGTTCATCACTTTGGAAATTATCAATGGCTGAATGAAGTCGAAGTTTATGAAAAATTGATGATTTTTTTTTGTATTTGGCATTTAATATTTTATCCATAGTATGGGTATGCTGGGGCAATAGCTTTAGCGTAACCGACTGGACCATGATATGCTGGGGCTAAAACTTTGGCAACTGGAGCAATAACCTGATGCAAGAACCATAATTAAATTAAAGGATATTTAAAAATCATCAAGACAATTGTCATACCTTTGCAACTGGTGCGACTCCGGCTGTTTTGCTGACAACGGCATTGAATCCTTAAAAAAAGAAATTTTAATTTGAAGGAAGGAATAAAATATTTTTTTTAAAATCTTACCATTAACTGGATCAGCATTGTAAACAACACGACGGAATGAACCATCAGCTTCAACGAATGAGTATTCTCCAGTAACAACATCTCCTTGTCTTGTTTCTGATTGTGATTTGCTGTCTCCTGTAATGGCATCATTGACTGAATATGTGTATGAATAATGTGGGTTGGCATCATATTCGACAGTCTTGACAACAGATGGTGCGAGGCCAACTGGTGCAGCTAATCCATAAGGAGTAGCAACAATTGGTGATCCTGATGTGTAAGCGATCAAAGCGAATAGAGCTACGAACTGAAATAATGAAGAATTTTAATGTTGTCATTGGTTCTGATTTAAATTCTTATTCTCACTTTGAACATTTTGCTAAGTTTTTTTTAGATGAATTATGGTTTAAATGATCTTGAGAACTGAACTGAATTGGACATGGAACATGCTAGTTTTTATACAATTTTTCTTTATCTCAAAAATTTATAGCATACACAAAAAAGAGCGTAAGGCGAATTCATGCACTTTCTATATTTTGATTTGTTACAACTTTTAGTCCACAGTTCTCTCCCTCACACAACGTACGCACCTTAATTTTATACTCTATTCAACATTTTTGTGCTACCGTTTTTTGCTTTTGAGCAACTGAATTCAGTTGCAGTTAAAGGAACATTTGTTAAAGGAATATATTGCATAATAAATTTCATTTTATTATTTAACTTACTACTTCAGCAAGGACATTCATTTGTGTGTAAATTAACGAAACGTAATGATGAAGTCAAATGTTTTTAAGGATTTTACTAGATATTACTATTTTTTTCATTAAGCATCCATTCGGGCTTTTTTCAATAATAAAATATTTTATTCATTATTATTAGTACTACTCTGCATTAGTTTTCAATCTACTAACCAGGTCTAATGGTAATTCTCTTGTAATCAGTCTATTGAATTAATTTTCAATTTATTCATCTTAAATTTTGCAACAGTGTTATTAAACCTTTAACTTTTGGTCCGTTCCATCAAAAGCCCTCGTTGGTGAATTTACGGCTCTCGTATCTTTCTCATTCTGTCTACATAATTTTTGACCCGTTCCTACATTCCACATCGCCTAATTCTTAGTTTCACGTCTTAAACTGCTGCACCTAAGAAGCCGAAGTATCAAAACTTCTGAAAAATCACTAGGCTGGAGCCGGGATTTGAACCCGAGAGTCCAAATTCAATAAAATTAATATTAATGCGTGTCGTAAATTCTACTATTATTAATTGTGTTCTTAACTCATTCAGGCTATAACTGTCTTTCTCAATTAATTCTAACCATCATTTGTCAATTATATTAAATACAAAGGAGCAATAAACAAGATGTGTTATTATTTTTTCATAACTAGCTCATAATTTTTGTTAAATTTCAACTTATTGCCCAGTTAAACTTCTAGATATTTATTTTCATTTACTTGTTCAATCTCAACATTATCAATCATCAACATATTTACTGTTAATAATCATGAAATTACTTTTGCTGATATTTAGTGATATTCTGTTAAATTTTAAGCAAAGTAGTGAATAAACTAGTGCTTTATACATGATTTCCGTAGCCTCACTTGTTAATGTTTTTAAATAAGGATCATTCAAAATAAAATTCTAATTTGTTTGGAGGAGGTTTTGAATTTTTGTCCTAAATTGCAGCATCCACAATCTTATAAAAAACTATTTTTAATAATCATAAATTAATAAGTCTACTGTTTCGATACTAATGATCCAAAAAGGATTATATAAATAATCATAAATATTAATCTAAATAGAAGAGATTGGCTTTGACCATTTTAAGAAACATTTAATCAATTTTAAGATCATTAATTTTTAAATCATTAACCGAATAAATTTTTCATTGATTGAAATTTCAATCCATGATCAAAGCACTTGCTCAATTTTCAATTAACACTATCAATGCTTAGTAACCCAAATAAATTGAATTGATTTCTTTGCAAAGTGCTTGCTAGCCTCATTCCAATTGACATATTCCAAGTAAAGCAGACATGATATCGGTAATATTATTTATAGGCTGCAAAAATATTATGCAATGGAATTGAATTATGACCACAATTCTATCTCGAGTGTGTAATTGATAACGCATAAATTAAAGCACAAAGCACGACGAAGTAAGACTGAATAGCTTTCAAGTTCAAGATCATTATAAATAATCATTCAAAGATTATAAAGTCTGCATTTAATATCAATGCCGAACAAATATGCCAATTATCCATTTATATATGTGTTCATAAATTATGTCGGTAAGCTTGACTTGTTGTGACATTTTTTGAACTTATAAAGAAAATATTTTATAAATTCATTTGATTGACTTTGAAATATTTCTTACCTAGTTTAATTAAAACATGTAATTTTTATTTAAGGAATTCGGTAAGTAATATATGAATGATTTTGTATGTGAGAGATTGAAATTATTAATTTTGATTAGGATCCATTCACTTTTTAAGTTTACGGGGAGGAGGAGATAACGAGAGCTAATTTGACTTCTCAATTTTAATATCAAACAGAGGAGCTCAACATTAAATTTTAGTAAAATGTTGGAAATGATGGAATTTCCAGACAAAACTCATCTGAAATTAAACATCAAGACTCCCGCAGATCATAATCATTTAAAATCGAAGATTATAATCTTTGTATGAGATTATTTAAAGATTATAACCTGCTGGAGCATTGTTAAATATAAAATAAACCACACAATAAAACCTTTCAATAGGAAAAATTGAAAGCCCTTTTCTATTTTATAGGTACAATAGATTCTTTACAAATTGAATCGCAGTGCCTCCAGCTGAAAGGCTAGGCCCTTCACACATTATTATTTCTATTTTATAAAAAGCTTTAAAGCAAACTTAAATGTATTTGAAATTGAAAATGCAAATAATAAGAAATAGAATTTTAGGTTTTCATATCGTAACCATCAACATGATGATCCATTTATTTCATTAATAATTTTCTTAAAAATTAATTGAGTTTCTTTTTTATTGCTTTCTTTTTAAAAACTTATTTGTTTATGGGTAATTCCATGAGAAATTTTTGTAAAAAATTTACTTAAAATTGATTTTTTTTCATATTTAGGCTTTACAAAAGTTAATAAGATTTTCACAGTGCATGTAAAAAGTCATATGGTATATGATTTGACATTAATTTTCTATCTAAAGTGGTTAATTCGTCCGAAAAATTGATTCCATGAGCGTTACTTGGTAACGCTATAAATGTTACCAAGTAACGCTATAAAATATAATTTTTTGGACTTAATAATCACTTTAGATGACATTTTAATGTCAAATAACATACCTTATGGCTTTTAACATGTCCTGTGGAAATCTTATTAACTTTTGTAAAGCCTAAGGATGAAAAAAATCAATTTAAAGAAAATTTTATAGCAAAATTATAGCATGGAATTACGCTTATTTTTTGGTTGTCATATCTTGTTATCAATATGTGAATATTTTGCAGTGTCCTTTTGGATTTAACGATTTACTCAAAGATTTCAAGTTGAATGATTTAACCGTAGTATGGCTTGGCAATGACTGGAGCGGCAATAGGATGGTGATAGGCAGCATATGGGCTAGCAATTGGTGCGTGGTAGGCTGTTTATTTTTGATTATAAAGATTTTAGTAATTTTTAAAACTAAAAGATAATTAATAAAATAATTTACCTGCGATTGGGGCATGATAAGCTGGGGCGATGACTTTGGCAACTGGAGCTACAGCACCTTCTTTGCGAACAACAGCGTTGAATCCATGAATATCATCAGCTGTATAATCAACTACTCTTCTGGTTCCATCAGCTTCAATTAATGAGTATTGTCCAGTAACTACATCACCATTACGTGTTTCTGATTGTGATTTGCTGTCTCCAGTTGATGCATCATTGACTGAGTATGTATATGAGTATTGTGGATGGGCATCAAATTCAACAGTCTTGACAACAGATGGTGCGAGGCCAACTGGTGCAGCTAATCCATAAGGAGTAGCAACAATTGGTGATCCTGATGTGTAAGCGATCAAAGCGAATAGAGCTGCGAACTATTGATGATTAAAATTAAATTGTAAATTTCTATTCTTCTAAGGATACAAAATCCTGAAAGTTTTAAGAAACTTACTCTGAACATTTTTGGTTGATTTGTGGATTTAAAAAATTAATATCCTATTGAATGAAATGGAAACTGATGAATGACATACAACACTTAGTTTGCCTTTGCTTTTATATATTTTAGGAGAGGTAATTTTTTCATAGAGTCATATCTTACTCTAGATTGTAGCAGTAGCTTGAATAATTTTATGATAGAGCCATGACCAGAAAGAAATTTTAGTATTAAGGAGGGGATTTAAAACCTTTTTCTTATGTTGATTCTAATAAAGTTCTAAAAATAAGAAATAAATATGTTATATTAAAGTATTTTTATATACGGTAGCACGTATTTTATGTTAAAGGAATATCATTTTAAAATTAAAGAACAAAGTTATATACATTTAAAAACATTTTAATTCTCAAAAGCGCCTCTCGATCTCTCTTCATATATAATATATATATGAATATGAATTGAAACAGTTGAGTGCCTTTGTGTTGTAAAGACAAGAATCATGGTTCAAATTCGGATTGGTACCTCGAAAAGATAGTTGATTCATTTCCTAATATGTTCAAATTTATACTATTTCTAGAAATTTTAAAATTTTTAATTTTTTTTCCCGAAAGCTTAACGAATGAGATCAAGACTACATTGGAGAGATGCTCCACTGAAAACTTTAAGTACAGAAAATCAAAGTCACTCGATATTTTTAAGTCTTTATACCATGTTTATTTGAACTTAAAAACTTTACGTTTAAACCATTAGTCCAACTACATATTATATCCGCGTAAAAAACTTTATGTGCAGTTTATAATTCTAGAATATTTTCAAACTGAGAACTCAAAAATTTAAACATTATCACAAAAATTGCAATAATTCTTAAATTAGTAAAAATGCAAATATTAAATTTTTTGAAGGATTTTAATTGTTCCTGCTCAAATAATCCTTAATTTAAGTTTTTAACCAGCTTACCCAGCAACAAAAAATTATTACTAAAATCCCTTAGAAACTTTTCATAACACAGTTTACTACTAAATCTAAGTAAAGCAATCAAGAATACTCAATAATATTATTAAAACTATCTATGTTATAAACATCCAATTCCCTCCCTGTGTAATGATGCGGTATTGAGAGCCTTAATCAAAGCTTTTTCATAGCATGCAATAGATTTTAAATGATCTATTAATTATTTTTACAAGAACAAGGGAAGTGACTAAAATGTGTGCCCTGATGAAGAAACAAAAGCGATTTTTGTTTTTTTTTTCACTCACAAAAAGAGAGTTTGCAGCTCATTTTGTCAAATCATTTTTTAATATTAAACGGCAAATTCAGAATTGAGAAATTTCGCGATTTAAGATTTAATGTGAAATTAACTTTTGGATGGGTTAGAAAAGTTTTCGGAGAAATTCTGGTTTGTGGATGACATTCATTAAGTTGATAAGATCAGAATTGTATTTACTGATTGTGACTTTTGAATTAGGAACATAAATAAGGAATAAGATAAATAAATTTTTTAGATTTTTATATCATAACCATCAACATGATGGTCCATTTATTTTTGTAACAATTTTCTTAAATGCTAATCGAGCTTCTTCTTCTTTTAAAGCTTATTTTGTTTAAAACTTGTTTTTTTTTTGTTTAATTTTTGGTTGTCACATCTTGTTCTTAATATGCGAATATTTTACAGTGTCCTTTGGATTCAACGAATAATTATTTCAAGTCTATAAGTTAAATGATTTAACCATAGTATGGCTTGGCAATGACTGGAGCGGCAATAGGATGGTGATAGGCAGCATATGGACTGGCAATTGGTGCGTGGTAAGCAGCTCCGATTGGTGCGTGGTATGCAGCTCCGATTGGTGCGTGGTAAGCAGCATATGGGCTAGCAATTGGTGCGTGGTAGGCTGTTTATTTTTAATTATAAAGATTTCAGTAATTTTTAAAACTAAAAGATAATTAATAAAATAATTTACCTGCGATTGGGGCATGATAAGCTGGGGCGATGACTTTGGCAACTGGAGCTACAGCACCTTCTTTGCGAACAACAGCGTTGAATCCATGAATATCATCAGCTGTATAATCAACTACTCTTCTGGTTCCATCAGCTTCAATTAATGAGTATTGTCCAGTAACTGCATCACCATTACGTGTTTCTGATTGTGATTTGCTGTCTCCAGTTGATGCATCATTGACTGAGTATGTATATGAGTATTGTGGATGGGCATCAAATTCAACAGTCTTGACAACAGATGGTGCGAGGCCAACTGGTGCAGCTAATCCATAAGGAGTAGCAACAATTGGTGATCCTGATGTGTAAGCGATCAAAGCGAATAGAGCTGCGAACTATTGATGATTAAAATTAAATTGTAAATTTCTATTCTTCTAAGGATACAAAATCCTGAAAGTTTTAAGAAACTTACTCTGAACATTTTCGGTTGATTTGTGGATTTAAAAAATTAATATCCTATTGAATGAAATGGAAACTGATGAATGACATACAACACTTAGTTTGCCTTTACTTTTATATACTTTTAGAAAGGTAATTTTTTCATAGAGTCATATCTTACTCTAGATTTGCAGCAGTAGCTTTATTAATTTTATTAAATAGGCATGAACAGAAAGAAATTTTAGATATGAGTAGGGGTGTGAAAACTTTATTTGAATTTATTAATTTTATTATCTGTATTTGTTTGAACACATAGCGTGTAAATTATTGGTTGTAGTTCAATTTTTTGGTCAATTATCATATATATTCTATATAATGAGTGTAACATATGGTAGGGAATAGATTAGAGATTTACCCAATTTATGAAATATTTATGTATATACCAATAAGTATACGTAGAGCTAACGATGAGCCCACACGAAAAAAATACCTCCAAAAAGAATTCTTACATTTCTTATTTAAATAAAGGCACTATAATTGATTTATTGAAGATTCTTTCCCATTCAATTTTCAGAATTTTTTGAAATTTAACGATTTATTCTATGTATTGATAGATATACATATTGATTGAATGAAATATAAATTTAGTAGGGAGATATTGTGACAATTCAAATTATTTTTCCAAACAAATTGTTTTTCCATAGAAATTTTGTAACAAAGGTGGAGGGTTTAAAAATCCAAAAATTTAATTAAACCATTCAATTCAAAAACCAATGCTTCAAAATTCTTTATTAAAAACTAGTATGATATTCCGTAACGAATTACAGGCAACATTTAAAGAAATATAGCTTTCTGTTTGAATCGTTTGACTTCATTCATATGAAGACCAAAATAAATATTGAATTCTAAGATATATATTTTAGCTGAGCCTTTTATTTTTTTAAAAGAACATGGAACATAGCTTATATTATTGTTATCTGGATAACATAATTAAAATTTAGACATGGTAAGATATTCGTGGTTCCAAAATTTAATGTCAAATTCGTTTTGAGAATTTTGGAAAAATTTGTTGGAAGATTCTGGCGTGTGCGCAATTTAAGACTTTTACTGGATTATTACTACTGCTGTATGTGGCGTAATATTTAATAAAAATGCAACTAATATAAAAATAATTAGCTGTATGTTGCAAATAAAACTACAGCTGTAATTTCCAGATGATGTAAAATATTAAGATTTACAGCTTTAAATTACAGATAGGTTTACGTTAAAATTAAATTGCAGCTTTAACTAATAGCGAGTGGTTAAGCAACAGATTGGATATCTGTAATCCTCTTATGTGAGGACGTGGCTTTGATTGTCTCCAGAGACCGATCTCAAGCAATCATTATATAGAGTGCTGTCGATATGAGAAGGATTCGCACAATACTCACAAAATTACAAGATGTCTTGAAGTGAAGAGCTGTGTTTTTAGTGCAAGTTGTTGATTTGTACAGGTATTTAAATGTATAAATTAAACGAATAATAAGAGATAATTTTTTTAGGTTTTTACATCGTAACCATCAACATGATGGTCCATTTATTTTTGTAACAATTTTCTTAAATGCTAATCGAGCTTCTTCTTCTTTTAAAGCTTATTTTGTTTAAAACTTGTTTAATTTTTGGTTGTCACATCTTGTTCTTAATATGCGAATATTTTACAGTGTCCTTTGGATTCAACGAATAATTATTTCAAGTCTATAAGTTAAATGATTTAACCATAGTATGGCTTGGCAATGACTGGAGCGGCAATAGGATGGTGATAGGCAGCATATGGACTGGCAATTGGTGCGTGGTAAGCAGCTCCGATTGGTGCGTGGTATGCAGCTCCGATTGGTGCGTGGTAAGCAGCATATGGGCTAGCAATTGGTGCGTGGTAGGCTGTTTATTTTTAATTATAAAGATTTCAGTAATTTTTAAAACTAAAAGATAATTAATAAAATAATTTACCTGCGATTGGGGCATGATAAGCTGGGGCGATGACTTTGGCAACTGGAGCTACAGCACCTTCTTTGCGAACAACAGCGTTGAATCCATGAATGTCATCAGCTGTATAATCAACTACTCTTCTGGTTCCATCAGCTTCAATTAATGAGTATTGTCCAGTAACTACATCACCATTACGTGTTTCTGATTGTGATTTGCTGTCTCCAGTTGATGCATCATTGACTGAGTATGTATATGAGTATTGTGGATGGGCATCAAATTCAACAGTCTTGACAACAGATGGTGCGAGGCCAACTGGTGCAGCTAATCCATAAGGAGTAGCAACAATTGGTGATCCTGATGTGTAAGCGATCAAAGCGAATAGAGCTGCGAACTATTGATGATTAAAATTAAATTGTAAATTTCTATTCTTCTAAGGATACAAAATCCTGAAAGTTTTGAGAAACTTACTCTGAACATTTTCGGTTGATTTGTGGATTTAAAAAATTAATATCCTATTGAATGAAATGAAAACTGATGAATGACATACAACACTTAGTTTGCCTTTACTTTTATATATTTTTAGAAAGGTAATTTTTTCATAGAGTCATATCTTACTCTAGATTTGCTGCAGTAGCTTTATTAATTTTATTAAATAGGAATGACAAGAAAGAAATTTCAAAAGTGAGGTGGGTGAAACCGTTTTTTACAAACATAATTTATGTTGATTCTAATGTAGTTCTAAAAATGCTAAAGAATCAAACAGAATTTAATTATTGTTTTAAAAAACCTTGGTGAGAATTATTTTTAAATGACAACGGCTTTATGTATTATTCAGTATGAATTAAAAAATTGTAGAAGTGAACTTTTGAATACAATTGAATTCTTATCAGTAGATGCATTTAAATTGATTTAAAGGAAATAAAAATTAAAAATTAAAGACAAAACAGTCAATTTAATATTCTATTAAACTTCGTGATGAGATACATAATATATCTCTGATCAGCCAAAAGTGCATGAAAAAACTTAAAATATTATGTAAATTTTTTTTTGAAAAATTCAAACTTAAAATTCTCAACATATAATTTGATAAAGAAAATTGACAAGAACACTCAATCCAATTGGTTCGTCGTTATTTAAAAAAGTTTGACAACGCTGTTGCAATTGATCTTAGTTGAACCAAGCACGCATCTTCTTCTTCTTCTTGTCTAGAAATATTTTATATTGTTCTTAAGCTACGACTTTGATTTTACCATCTTTTCTTTTTATTTTTAACAATGGCGATGTCTCTTCTCTATGATTATCTTAATCTTAAAAAATTATTTGTTTTCCTAGAACAAATTTTTTATTCAAATTTAAAGAATTTTTCTTAAAATAGATACTCAATTACCAAATCTTTTTTTTTAATTTGGATTGCAAATTTAGCCATTTAAACTTTCTCTTGAATTTATTTAAAATAAATGATCAAGACCTTTAGCTTTAAAATAAATTTCAAAAAACATAGAAGCTATTTTTTATAGAAACTGTCTGCAATTTCCGACCTAAAATAGATTATGTGTATTAAATATCATACATTCACATACGCACCAATATGTGTCTCGTTTATTTCATAAAATTAATAAAGCTATTGCTTCATACCGCTACAAATCTAGGGTAGACAAAACACTGTATGAAAAAATTTACCTCTCTAAAAATATATAAAAGTAAAGGCAAACTAAGTGTTGTATGTCATTCATTAGTTTCCATTTCATTCAATAGGATATTAATTTTTTAAATCCACAAATCAACCGAAAATGTTCAGAGTAAGTTTCTTAAAACTTTCAGGATTTTGTATCCTTAGAAGAATAGAAATTTACAATTTAATTTTAATCATCAATAGTTCGCAGCTCTATTCGCTTTGATCGCTTACACATCAGGATCACCAATTGTTGCTACTCCTTATGGATTAGCTGCACCAGTTGGCCTCGCACCATCTGTTGTCAAGACTGTTGAATTTGATGCCCATCCACAATACTCATATACATACTCAGTCAATGATGCATCAACTGGAGACAGCAAATCACAATCAGAAACACGTAATGGTGATGCAGTTACTGGACAATACTCATTAATTGAAGCTGATGGAACCAGAAGAGTAGTTGATTATACAGCTGATGATATTCATGGATTCAACGCTGTTGTTCGCAAAGAAGGTGCTGTAGCTCCAGTTGCCAAAGTCATCGCCCCAGCTTATCATGCCCCAATCGCAGGTAAATTATTTTATTAATTATCTTTTAGTTTTAAAAATTACTAAAATCTTTAAAATCAAATATAAACAGCTTACCACGCACCAATTGCTAGCCCATATGCTGCTTACCACGCACCAATCGGAGCTGCATACCACGCACCAATCGGAGCTGCTTACCACGCACCAATTGCCAGTCCATATGCTGCCTATCATCATCCTATTGCCGCTCCAGTCATTGCCAAGCCATACTATGGTTAAATCATTTAACTTATAGACTTGAAATAATTATTCGTTGAATCCAAAGGACACTGTAAAATATTCGCATATTAAGAACAAGATGTGACAACCAAAAATTAAACAAGTTTTAAACAAAATAAGCTTTAAAAGAAGAAGAAGCTCGATTAGCATTTAAGAAAATTGTTACAAAAATAAATGGACCATCATGTTGATGGTTACGATGTAAAAACCTAAAAAAATTATCTCTTATTATTCGTTTAATTTATACATTTAAATACCTGTACAAATCAACAACTTGCACTAAAAACACAGCTCTTCACTTCAAGACATCTTGTAATTTTGTGAGTATTGTGCGAATTCTTGTCATATCGACAGCACTCTATATAATGATTGCTTGAGATCGGTCTCTGGAGACAATCAAAGCCACGTCCTCACATAAGAGGATTACAGATATCCAATCTGTTGCTTAACCACTCGCTATTAGTTAAAGCTGCAATTTAATTTTAACGTAAACCTATCTGTAATTTAAAGCTGTAAATCTTAATATTTTACATCCATCTGGAAATTACAGCTGTAGTTTTATTTGCAACATACAGCTATTTATTTTTATATTAGTTGCATTTTTATTAAATATTACGCCACATACAGCAGTAGTAATAATCCAGTAAAAGTCTTAAATTGCGCACACGCCAGAATCTTCCAACAAATTTTTCCAAAATTCTCAAAACGAATTTGACATTAAATTTTGGAACCACGAATATCTTACCATGTCTAAATTTTAATTATGTTATCCAGATAACAATAATATAAGCTATGTTCCATGTTCTTTTAAAAAAATAAAAGGCTCAGCTAAAATATATATCTTAGAATTCAATATTTATTTTGGTCTTCATATGAATGAAGTCAAACGATTCAAACAGAAAGCTATATTTCTTTAAATGTTGCCTGTAATTCGTTACGGAATATCATACTAGTTTTTAATAAAGAATTTTGAAGCATTGGTTTTTGAATTGAATGGTTTAATTAAATTTTTGGATTTTTAAACCCTCCACCTTTGTTACAAAATTTCTATGGAAAAACAATTTGTTTGGAAAAATAATTTGAATTGTCACAATATCTCCCTACTAAATTTATATTTCATTCAATCAATATGTATATCTATCAATACATAGAATAAATCGTTAAATTTCAAAAAATTCTGAAAATTGAATGGGAAAGAATCTTCAATAAATCAATTATAGTGCCTTTATTTAAATAAGAAATGTAAGAATTCTTTTTGGAGGTATTTTTTTCGTGTGGGCTCATCGTTAGCTCTACGTATACTTATTGGTATATACATAAATATTTCATAAATTGGGTAAATCTCTAATCTATTCCCTACCATATGTTACACTCATTATATAGAATATATATGATAATTGACCAAAAAATTGAACTACAACCAATAATTTACACGCTATGTGTTCAAACAAATACAGATAATAAAATTAATAAATTCAAATAAAGTTTTCACACCCCTACTCATATCTAAAATTTCTTTCTGGTCATGCCTATTTAATAAAATTAATAAAGCTACTGCTGCAAATCTAGAGTAAGATATGACTCTATGAAAAAATTACCTTTCTAAAAGTATATAAAAGTAAAGGCAAACTAAGTGTTGTATGTCATTCATCAGTTTCCATTTCATTCAATAGGATATTAATTTTTTAAATCCACAAATCAACCGAAAATGTTCAGAGTAAGTTTCTTAAAACTTTCAGGATTTTGTATCCTTAGAAGAATAGAAATTTACAATTTAATTTTAATCATCAATAGTTCGCAGCTCTATTCGCTTTGATCGCTTACACATCAGGATCACCAATTGTTGCTACTCCTTATGGATTAGCTGCACCAGTTGGCCTCGCACCATCTGTTGTCAAGACTGTTGAATTTGATGCCCATCCACAATACTCATATACATACTCAGTCAATGATGCATCAACTGGAGACAGCAAATCACAATCAGAAACACGTAATGGTGATGCAGTTACTGGACAATACTCATTAATTGAAGCTGATGGAACCAGAAGAGTAGTTGATTATACAGCTGATGATATTCATGGATTCAACGCTGTTGTTCGCAAAGAAGGTGCTGTAGCTCCAGTTGCCAAAGTCATCGCCCCAGCTTATCATGCCCCAATCGCAGGTAAATTATTTTATTAATTATCTTTTAGTTTTAAAAATTACTAAAATCTTTAAAATCAAATATAAACAGCTTACCACGCACCAATTGCTAGCCCATATGCTGCTTACCACGCACCAATCGGAGCTGCATACCACGCACCAATTGCCAGTCCATATGCTGCCTATCACCATCCTATTGCCGCTCCAGTCATTGCCAAGCCATACTATGGTTAAATCAATTAACTTAAAGACTTGAAATAATTATTCGTTGAATCCAAAGGACACTGTAAAATATTTGCATAATAAGAACAAGATGTAACAACCAAAAATTAAACAAAAAAAAAACAAGTTTTAAACAAAATAAGCTTTAAAAGAAGAAGAAGCTCGATTAGCATTTAAGAAAATTGTTACAAAAATAAATGGACCATCATGTTGATGGTTACGAAATAAAAATCTGAAATTTGTTTTTCTTATTGTCTTATTTTTGTAGTATTTAGGTAGTAACAAGGAGTAATTGTCATTAGGTGTAAGCTTAAATCACTCACAAGCCAAAATAAAATTTTTCAAAACCCCCAATAACGAAAGACTTTTTTTGTATTTTTTAAAATCTTTATTTACCCAAATAGAAATTATTCACAATTATAATATCGTCTGGACTTATTCTTTTAAAATCTTTAGCGGTTCGAATTAGCTTACCGATTTAAAGCTCGGGCTGAAACAAAAGTCTTTTCATTTGTCTCAGTCGATAGTTCTGTCAGCTACTCTGTACAAATTTTCAGTCTGCTGACCCTCTTTCATAACTTCTCTGTGTCATAAAGTTTTGGAACTCATAAGTTTTAATTTTTTTTACTTATACATGCCTACCAAACATGGCTCTAGCAAAAACTCTCATAGCAATACGTTCTTTCTGGAATTTGTCTAACGAATTGTATATAAAATAGAGTCGTGTTTTCACATCTTTAATTTATTGTTGATTTTATGTTAACAGGAATGAGGAACGACTATTCATATCCTTTGTGAATGCAGGTTTTTAAAAAAATTGAAATACCTAGACGCAGGCATGGCTATTTGTATATCTTCAGTTTTATTAAAAACATGAAAATTTCATCCTAAAACATCGGAGATTTCTATTCTGTTCTTTGTTAAACTGCGTTTTACATAAAATTCTCATACTACAACCAATCTTCTAAACATTTAAGTTTGCTGTTTGACTCCTGATTTAAAAAAAATTAAAATTAAAATTTGAAATTAATCCTTTTGATTTTCAGTTTACTGTTAACATAACAGTGAATTTTTTTATTTTAATAATTTATCTTAAAAACTAATTGAGCTTCTTTTTTTTAAAAACAGCTTAATTTGTGTAAAATTTTGTGTGTTTGTGATCATCACTGCATTATAAAATGCATGTCTATCTCATTATCCATTAAATCTTCAGCAAAAATGTTTTCAAGTTATCATCAAAATTTATTTTTTATTATAATTTAACCGTAGAATGGCTTGGCGATGACTGGAGCAGCAATTGGGGCGTGATAGATTGGAGCATGATAGGCGGCTTTAAAAAAATTATTATTGTCGATTTTTCGATTGATTATTTATTTATAGAACTTACCAGCAACTGGAGCGATAACCTTTGCAATTGGAGCAACAACCTGTTGTTTAAGGATTAATTATTAGATTTTAAATTTTGAAATTTCTTAAACATTTCAGAGAATTTTGTCATACCTTGGCAACAGCACCTTCTTTGCGAACAACAGCGTTGAATCCATTAGCATCACTGGCTGTGTAGTCTACAATACGTCTTGTACCATCAGCTTCAATGAATGAGTATTGTCCAGTAACTACATCACCATTACGTGATTCTGATTGTGATTTAACATCTCCAGTTGAGGCATCATTGACTGAGTATGTGAATGAGTAGTTTGGGTTAGCATCAAATTCGACGGTCTTAACGACTGCTGGGGCAGCAACAACTTTTGAGTAACCATAACCGACGGGTGCAACGCCAACTGGTGCAGCTAATCCATAAGGAGTGGCTACAATTGGTGATGCTGATGTATAAGCGACCAAAGCAAAAATAGCTACGAACTATTAAAATGTTAATAACATTAAAGTTATTCAAGTAAGATCCTTAAGAGTATTGATAACTTACTTTGAACATTTTGGTTGATTTGTAGATTTAAAAATGTGTTATCTTATTAGATGAAATAGAAGCTGTTGACTGACTTGATGGTTTAAATTTGCTCGACTTTATATATATACTTGGAGAGGTAATTTTCTTCACGTAGACATTTCATATCAACCCTAAATATTAAGAGATATGAGCAATGACATGTAGTAATGTAGCAACAACAATATTAATTTTTTTTATTAAATCACTTCATTATGCACTTGTGCGTGTGCGACGGCGTTTCAACTTACATTCTAGACATAATCAATTTTAGATGTAATCGTTAAAGTCTGCGTTAAGATTGATAATTATGAATAATAAAGATTTAATTTTTAGGATTAGGGGCGAATCATTAATGACTAAGAACGGTATATGGAGTCAGATAATTTGTCACAACGGAGAATAAGTGTCTTAAAACCTAACATTCAATAGGCGCCATAAATACATTTTTACATTTAATTTCATTTTTTATGTATTTTTTACATTTTAATTGCATTTATTGAAAACATACTGTCCGGTCCAAGTTTAACCAATAAGCGAAAATTTCAAGTATTTTAAATAGGTAACCTAAAAATTTGTTAAGAAATAGAGTTTTTATTGTCTATCAATCTATTCATTTAATGAATCAAATCTCTTAAAAAAAGTAAAAAAAAAAAAGATTTGTTTTTCCGAAATTTGTTGATCTCGAAAATCATTTGAATCCTATAAATCTATAAATTTTACCGACGAAAACTAATTCATTCCCTATTGTAATCAATTTAGCAATCATGTTGTTAAACGATACATATAAAAGCTATCTATTTGGAGTGCAATGATTTTAAATGCAATCATTAACATGTAAATTTCAATAAGTTTTTTGATCCACAAACATCTATAGCGAGGTCAATTGACACTACCATTTATAGCCAAAGTAATATTTTAAAGCTTTTTAATGAATTCATTAATATGATAAAAAAAAAAGGTGGAGTCAAATGCGAAATTTCTGAAAATTTATTCAAGGTGTGTTGAATGTAGAAAACTTCTTCAAGCTCAAAGTTTTCATTTACTTTTCATTTTTTGATTTGGGTAGATAAAATTTCATTTGTATTGTACAATGTATAGCACAAGGGGGGCTAGCTTTTTTAAAAATTAAATTATCAATATAAATCATGTTTTGTAGTGGAGTTTATGGGTTTGGTCACGGAGTCACAGAGTCACAGATTGTATAGACTCACTTTTGTAGATCAAATGATCTAAAGTCTTGTTTTATGAATTGAATGAACTGCAAAAAATTAAAAATTGACTAACATGAGTCTAAAATTTTCTAGAAGTTGCTTTTATTTTTTTGGTAAAAAAGTCAAAATCCTTATTTATTGCTCGATAGATGCCTAGCGAGAGTGAATTTTACATCAAAGAGATTTCATTATAAAAAAGAATAAATGAAAAAAATTGTGTAGACATTCTCAAAGGAGCGATTTATAACGAAATTGTAATGATTTTGAAAAATGTCTTTAATCTAGTTTAAGCCTTCTTGATTATCGCTGGTAGCATTTAAAGATTTTTTTTAAAAACAAGATCTCAAAATTAAACACAATAAAAAATTATTTTTCTTTAAATGAAATTTTATTTCCATTTATTCATCATGTTATGATTTGCTTTGAATACTTTTTGTTTCTTAAAAGTTCAGGCATTATGACACATTAATGTACAATTAATTAAATACAATTGTGTCTTAATGGCGGACCTTTTTTAGCCTCTTAAGAATATCTTACAATAATTGTTTTTTAAAAATCAATTTTTCGTGTAATTGCAATTTGATAAGCTATGAAAAGTGATAGAGAAAATTTGATTTTTACAGTTCAACTGTCAACATGGGAATTATTTTATTTCATTAACAAATGACTTAGTGCTTAATTGAGTTTCTTTTTTTTACATCTTGTTTTTTTTCGCGATAATTTGTTTGTTTGTTTGTGATCATCATCGCATTTTTATATGCGAGTCCATCTCATTGTCCATTGGATGATTGCAAAAATATCTTAAATCTTTTCATTGAAATTTAACGATAATTTAGTAATTTAACCGTAGTATGGCTTGGCAACGATTGGAGCAGCAATTGGGTGGTGGTAGGCAGCATATGGGCTAGCAATTGGTGCGTGGTAGGCTGTTTAGATGATAAAGATTATTTATAAGTAAATTTAACTAAGAATAATTAAATGAACTTTTTAAGAACTTACCGGCAAGTGGAGCAGCGACGACTGGGGCATGATAAGCAGCTTTAATGAAACAAAATTAACGATCACTTTAAACTTTGTTCGAGTTAAATTTTTATTTTAAACTTACCAGCAACTGGAGCGATAACCTTGGCAACTGGAGCAACAACCTTGGCAACTGCAGCTTCTTTGTGGACAACAGCGTTGAATCCGTTGACTGGATCAGCTGTGTAGTCAACAACACGTCTTGTACCATCAGCTTCAATGAGAGAGTATTGTCCCTTAACTACATCACCATCACGTGTTTCTGATTGTCCTTTGTTATCTCCTGTAAGAGCATCGTTGACTGAGTATGTGTATGAATAATGTGGGTTGGCATCATATTCGACAGTCTTGACAACAGCTGGGGCAGCAACAACTTTTGAGTAACCATAACCGACTGGTGCAACGCCAACTGGAGCGGCTAATCCATAAGGAGTGGCTACAATTGGTGATGCTGATGTATAAGCGACCAAAGCAAAAATAGCTACGAACTGTTGATGATGACCAAAAAAATTCAAAATGAATTATTCTGTTCTAATTTTTTCAAAAAGCTCCAAGAACTTACTTTGAACATTTTTGGTTGATTTAAGTTTTAAAATTTGTTATCCTATGAGATGAAATGGAAGCTGATGACTGACTTGCTGATTTCAGACTACTCGTGCTTTTATATTTACCTAGAGAGGTGAAATATTTTTTTTACAAAGACATTTGGTGTCTACCCTAGATATACAACAACGACATAAAGCAATAGCTACATTAGATTTATGAAATCAATTCAATACACATTAGTGCGAGTGCGAATATCTATAATATATTTTTGATATAATCGGCTCGCACCAATCACTTTTTCACCATGACCTAAAGTCTTCGAGCTCTCATAGTCGTGCAGTCGCTTGTTGCATTTTTATTGTAAATATCCGCCACATAGTAACTATGCGAACATATATCATACATGAAACCACGCATTAATGCATGCACATTTTTTAAATCAAATGTAAACTTCAATGTCTCTTACATTTGTGATAAAGTTATTTACACAGTTTTCTCAGGTTTTTTGTGTTATTTTTTTTGAGTCATTGTGGTTGTAATCAATGCATTTAAATATAAATTGAGTCAGACAAAAAATATTTCTTCTTTTTGCAACAGTCTGCATTTATTTGATTTCATGCACATTTTATCATTGCAACTTTGTTTGTCCGTCGCGACAGTGTTGACTATTTTAGGGCTTAATTGCCATGAAATTATTTTTATTATACTATAGCGAGGTCTGCAAGAAAATCCGGACGTTTCATAGATTTTTCATCATTATTTTGCTAATATGGCTGACGATAGCTATAAACTTGTTATGAAATTAATCTTTTTTATTTCAGAGACGTAGAATGAAACAAATTAAGAATGTCAATATTCGTATCACAATATTTTGATTTATAATTCTAAAATAAATAAAAGACGAGCCTCCAACCATCTCCTCATCGTCATAGCTCTATTTATGCTTATCATTGAGTATGTACACGAAAAACGTAAAATATTGCTGATAACATGACACAGGCTTTTATTGATAACGATGGAAAAAATTCAATTCATTAAAATCAGACTTATTTCGTGGTAAATTTAAACCACATGATGTGATTAAAAACCAATTAGTACTTAGAAAAAGCCACATTGAATTTGATACTTCAATTAAATTTTAGTCACATGCGATTCAATGAGAAAATGTTAAGTTTCGATGTGTGTGCGTGCATGTCAAAAGCTGACACACGCAATTTATGTTCACCAACGCACTTGGATAATGAATAATTTTTCTGACTTGGCTAGTTTCTTAAAAACTGCATTCAATACAATAAAAAAGCTAATGCAACACAATTTTATCCACTTTGTATGATTTGTGCCATTATTTGTAAAATATATTTTTTTTGCATTTCTTGTAATTGCTTTTGGATTTAACTTTTAACATTTAATTGCAATAGTTTTGTATTACAATTTTATTTAATTGTGACAAATTCATGATGAATTTTTTGTTTTAATTAATGATAAAATACAGTTTGACGTGAATGAACATATGTGTTAACATTTTTATTATTAGCTTCAGGGTATCTCTGCTTCACCACATCAATAAGTTGTCCACGATAAATTAGTTCTTATTACGTAAATTGGATATTAATTAAGATTTCACATCCTATGGCTTTTTTTTCATTTGACGTGGAAGCAAGCATTAAAACTTGTAAGAGGTCATTGTAATCTACTGATGTGCCTTAAACATTTGATCTGTTCTGATTGGAGCTCAAATGCTTGATAAACTTTTAATTTATTATTTTAAAGTTCAATATGAATTCCATCCATAAATCATCTAGTCTGGTATATAGTTTTCTCAAATGCCTAAATGCATGCTTCAAGATTAAATGAAAAATTTCATAATTTTAATTTTATTTGGCAATTTTAAAATTATAATTGAAGATAAATCAACTTGCTTAATTACTTTACAATTAGTGAAAAATTCTCAACGAAAATATTCAAATCGATTTAGTATGATTGAGAATTTTTATTGCTCTCGTTTTCCCATTAAAATCCAAGTACACATATCTTATGACTTTTTATCATTATAAGATTGACATATTATTCAGAACCATTAATTTATAAAAATGTAAATCGATATTCTAATTAGACCTCATCCATTGAAATATTTTGAATAGCTATGAACTTTATTTGCAAGAAATCCTTGCTTGGATACACACATTTTAAGCAAATATTTATTTTATTGATTTAAATTATTTAAATTTTACAGCTTATACAACAACCGAACCGTTGTTCTAAATGCATTAGTTTATATGTGCAATAATATGCAAGTTTTACTTATTTTGCCTTTCTTTTCGTTACACAACTCCTTGTCGAGAATCAGTTTAACTTTCAACACGCATAAATTTACATAAACATTATATATCTTATGAGTTTAACACTAATCTATGTAGTTTGTTGTCAAGTGAGTTCAAATAGTAAAATAGAAAAATATGTAACATAAAAATTCGAGCAATAGCTTAACACCTAATGATGAAACTTTTCGAACTAATTAGTTAAAATATATTGACAATAGAATCATGCGAACCGAACATTTTGTAGAGGGAAGTTGCTTAAAATAAGTTTGGTATTTAAGGAATGAACTTTAACCTAAGAAGTATCATTGTACATTAAACATTAAAAGATAAAACATCCAATTTGAAGTTTAAAGGTTGATATATTTAAAAGGGAAATGTTTTTAAAGGTGAGAGTCCGAATCGTCAAGTGTATAACTCGTGTAATTAATTCATATATTTCTTATTTAAGGTCATTTTGATTTGCATCCTCAGTACGTTGACGTATGGATCTCCAATAATTTATAATCAGAATTACAATCATCCCAATACATATCTTACTCCACCACGTGCAATAACCACATTAAATACATTTGTGCCAATAGCCCTCATTCCTCCGGCTCCACCTCGTGCAAATATTCCAAGAATTTACGAGACTCCAAAGTCTAGAATTTATACAGCACCACCAATTTTCCGTACAATTCCACCTGCACCAACAACAAAACGTCCTTTTTTCAATAAAACACATAATCATCACAATTTGAAGAATAATAATTATAATCCGGGATATGCATATAATTATTCCGTCAATGATAATCGTGTAAGTAAGTAAAGAACGCTTTGCAAAGATACCAATAACAGTAATTCTATCATTTATTTATTTTTAAAAAAAATAATTCTTTTTCGCTTTTACTATTTTAAAATTCTTTTTCTTGCTTTTTCATCCACATATCATTTCTACGAATCATTTGGATTCTCCCTTTACCCCAAATTCATCTATTTACATCTTTAATGTATGGAAATCTTTTCCACGAATGAATTGATGCGATGTAAAAAAAGACTGGGGATATTAAGAATGTTGAAGAACGACTTGAAAATGGTGTTGTGCGAGGAAGTTATTCATTGCTTGAAGCTGACGGTAAGTTTTAACATAGAATTGAGTTGGAAAATGAAATTTAAAGTGTTGGATCCAAGAAAGCAAGTTTCTGAAATTTGTCCCTGTCACCTTTTCCAACTCTGCTGAGATTTTTTTTGATCATGCACTTAAGTTGCTAGTTGAACTGCAAATTAAAATTTTAAATAACCTCAGTACAGTCTAGAAAATTCCTAATCCGAAGAATAAAGCTAAATCAATATTTTTTTTATTACTAAATTGATACAGGCACGACTGTGCGACGAGTGACTTATACTGCCGATGATGTTAATGGATTTGTAGCTAACGTCGAACGCACTAATGTGCCTATAAATAATAACAATAATGCAAACGTCGCTAATAATAATAACAATAATACTCCATTTACCATTTTCACACCATAAAAGTCAAGTTACTATATTTATTTAAAGCTAATCAGTTACTTTACCAATATTGTTTTATTTAATTTTTTATATTTTTAAATAAATCATTTTATATTTAAAAAAAATTATCAACATTTATGAGTTTGACCTGAAAATCTTTATCATCACGTGCTATTTAATCAGAAATAAGTTCTACTATAATTAATCAAAAAGGCAGTTATTACAGTTAAAATGTCAATTAAAAGTTTAAATGAACAACTAGTTTTCCATTTCAATTAATATCAATCACTTCCGCATAGGAATTTCTCAACTAATTGATTAAACATGTACATAGCAAATTATAGACGACAGTTGACTTTTAAAGATTTTGTGTGGTGCATATGGAAATTTTCTTAAAGTTGAGCTTTGATGCAAGCGCCAATCGATCATGTGATAAAAAAATCTTTTTTTTGCTTAATCCATTTTTTTTAAAAAAAAAAATTTAAAAATTTGAGTTCTATAACAAATAACATTAAGATATTACCACAAACATGATCAGCTTTTAAAAAATAAAAGCTTTATAAAAGCTCACCTGGCGACAGCTTATAACAAATGTATGCCACAATCCATAATCCATGCTGCGTTTCATGTAATCAATAAAAAAAATATTTTATGCAATCATTCATACGCATTTATTCTGTAATAAGTGTCTTACGTTTAATTTTCTAGTCAATATTCTCCAGTCAAATGATTGATTGTTATGTTGAGGTTCTTTTGAATTTTAAATGCTTTAAAAACTTTCTCGTGTTTTTGTTTATTCTTTATCAATTGGTCATCAAACACATTTTAATTTACGTCAGCAATGATGCAAATTTAGACTCACACTATTAAGTCATTAAATGAAAATTGATTGTTCCATTTCATTTTTGGAATATACCAGAATATAGTTTTCTAAATAGCAGCTTTGTATTGATTCAGATCAAACTAATATTTTATATATTCCACAAAAAATCACTTGTGTATTTAAATTTAAAACTGAAAACAATAAATTTCTTTGAACTTTATAACATGAAGTCAGATTAATCCAAGAAAAGGAATATTTGCATGCAAATTAACACTTTTGTTGGATTCGATGAAAGTGATAAAATTTTTGTTTTGATAAATATACTTATTTTTATTTCGTAAACAACTCACTTTCGTACATGCTGTTGACGACAGCTTAAAATATTGTTTGAAAGCAAGTGTTCCTGAATTTTTTGTATAATGACTCAATATTTTATTTGTTCGAATTTAATTGTATTTTTGTCCTTTGAATTTTAAAATACCTATTTGAATACGAACTTTTGTTTACAATTTCTTATGCCTTGCTGCATCTGCTTAAAAATTATTTAGTTTTTTGAAGTCTGTTTGTTTTTATTTCATTTGACCCTTTCTTTTCTGTTCTATACACGAAGTATTCAAATTTTCAAATTTTTGACTGTAACAAATTTTATCATTATTTGACTTTGAATTTGGGGAAATTAATCTTGCCAAGAAGTAAACAAGGAATTATTCGCATTGACCTTCAGAATTCCGTTTCTCAAAATTCAAATTTTTTTTGCATTTTTCATAAGCTTAATTTTAATTTCAACAGCGATTCCTCGTGGATGATTCTTAAACTATCGTGTTCAAACATTCGCTTCAGTGTGAATGATAATGGAAGGAGATAAGTTCTAGAAGAATTCTTTTTTAAATTTCAGACTTTTTAATTTTCTGAAGTTTCTAAAAATTGATTTAAACTCTGGATCTATTGACAGCACTCTTTGTAATCTCTTATGCATGGGTCGATATCTTACCCTCATTTTCACAATGACATATTAACAGACTTACTCTCATCGGCAATTGGCAGAATCACCAACGTAAGGCTAGACAGTAGCTTCAGCAAATTCCATTTTATTCCTTTGTTACACTTTGTTGGAGCTAATGCTAGGCTCGACTGACAGCTTTTGTCATTCAAAGTTATTTATTCTGTTGTTTTTTTTAAGTTTTTTCAAACAAGAAGTTATTGTTTTACTCCAAAAAATGAATTTCTAAAAGGAAACGAAAGCATTTTATAAAGTCAATTGGTTTATTAAAATATAAGAATGCGTGAAGATTTTCATATCACATCAGATAATTTAAGAAAACTTAATAAATTTTTGTTGAAATTTGAGAAATTTATTTAATTTCATCTCATCAATTGCGTCATAATCGTGTGCTTAATTTAGCTAATTGCAAGATCTATTTATAGTGACAGATGATTCAGTAATTAAAATGTGATAAGGCTTAATTGTGAAAAAATGGACTTTTGTAGAATGTTCTCATATTTATTAAAACTTTAGTGGAATCACCACAATAAATATGTTTGACCTAAATTTTCATGACACATCAATTGTTATGGCTGTAAATTTTCAATGCTGCACATTTCCTGGCAAAAGTGCAAAAAAGTCATATGTAAGTAGACTGGTTCATACTTGAAAAATGTTCACGAAAACTGCATCTTAATTCTTTAAATGTGTATATGATGCAAGTCAGACGTATCGATTTGTGGAATAAGCACATCCTATAATGAACATTGCATTGATTATTGGGATTACATCACATGATGAGTGTAAATATTTATTTATTGAATTATTTTGCTTAATCCACAAAAATAGTATATACATACTTTCGGTATACGGTTAACCACCACCACCCGCTACACTTTTGCTTTTGTTTTGTGTGAGCATGAAGAAATTTATTCATGATTTGAATTCTTAATGAGTTTCATTGTCGCGATGGACATTTGCATTGTAGACTGGGCCAATGTGAAGTAATATGAATGAGTGTCTAAAAATGTACCATATATGAACGTCAATCTATGCATGTATATTATAATAAATTGCAAATTTACAACAAAAAATATTGCACCATCTTTTAAGTATAAATATTTTGAAGAATTTCAAAGTCTCATCAGTTCATTCATTTCGTTCAATTCAGTAACGTTTCAATTTTTAATTTTTTAAAATCAATCAAAATGCTTAAAGTGAGTCCAAAATTGTAGATTAGAAATTTGAACAAAAAGTGTTAAAAATTGGTTTTTTTCAGTTCGCATCAGTGTTCTTCTTTGTCGCGGTTAGTACTGCCAAAGCTGGAATCTTAGGTTCACCATTGGCCTACACTATTCCTGCATCAGCACCTCTCATCTCTACAGCACCAATTCTTGCACGATCAGCACCATATATCCACCACTCAGCACCATATTATGGAAGACAATTGTTAGCTTCACCTGTTGGTCCATTCGTAAAAGCAGCACCGCTCATTCATCAAGCTCCAGTTGTTGCTAAATCATTCGTTCCAGCAGCCGCACCAATTATCTCAGCGAGAACAATCCTTCCAGTTGCTGCACCAGTAATCAAAACAGCTGAAAATGATGCTTATCCACAATATCAATATGCTTACAGTGTCAATGATGCTATAACTGGAGATAACAAAGCCCATGAAGAAATTAGAGACGGAGATATTGTAAAGGGATATTACACACTCTTGGAATCTGACGGATCAACAAGAAAAGTTTCATACTATGCTGATCCAATCAACGGTAAGTTAATGAGCTTTAAAAGTTGAACAGTTGAGCTTTGGTAAAAAAGCTTAAAATTAAAAACTTTAATATTTTCAAATTACAAACAGGTTTCAATGCTGTCGTTCAAAAATCAGCACCCGTTATTAATGCACCAATAGTTGAAAAAGTCGTTGTAGCATAAGTGCACAACTAGCACTCATCCTGTGACAAAACTGTACAAAAATGATGACTTTATGTAAATACTAGGACTTTCACTTATCTTTATCTCAAAATGATTCTCAGAAATACGGATAATATACAATGACATTGATGCCATGACAAAAATAAACTGCACAAATGGAAAATAAATAATGATGACGATTGAAGCATAAAACTAATAAGGGCAATTCTTTGGATTACTTTCGGAAAATTTTCAGCAAAAAATCGAAATTTTATTGATTTTTCCCATCAGAGGCACTGATTTTATGATTCTTATCGATGTAAAAATATAAAATGTACACTCCTTTTGATATCATATACTTCTAATCGCTGTATTAATTAAGTTATTTGGATTCTTTTGTCAATAACTCGATGACAGAAATCGGAATTTTCAATTTTCATCATCCGAAGAATCAAAAATTAGAGAAAACTATTGATATCCACATTGAATAACTTTTACTGAGTTATAGAACAGACAAAAATCTTTAATTAGGTTGCTTTTCTGTGTGCTTTAAGTCAGTAATTAATGAAATATTTCAATTCTTTGAAAAATTTCCTTGTGTCATCGAGTTATAAAGAAGCTTTTTTTTGTCTTAATCCGTGAAAAAATACAAAATTTTCAAACATATTTTTTCAATTTTTCACTTAATTTGGGTGAGTTGTAACATTTCAATAGATCACTTGTAAATAATTAATTATGCTTAATGATCTACGAAAGTTCTGGCTTATTATTCCTTCACAGTAATATGAAATTAAAGAAAACATTTTATTGGCACAAAACTCATTGACATTGGATTATGAAAGCTCATTTTTTTCAAATTCCACTCATCCAAAGAATTGCCCATAAATGGAATAAAAAAAAATGTTTATATTAAAAAAAAGGAATTGAAAAAAAAAATATTTGCTATAATTATGATTAATATACGCAATAAATGAAGATTATTTGTCTCCATACTCTTGAAACTTAATATGTTTTCCATATCTTTAGATTACAGAAATGATCAAAACAATAATCAAATTATTGACGTCAATAAAATTTAACAGTTTCTTTGTATTTCTCCTTCTTGCTTCTTATTTGCTTGAAATTATATACCTTTTATTTTGCCATCTTCCATGCAAACAACGATTCGCACGAAATTTTATCGGAAATTCTCAGCATACAATGTTGAAATATCAATATTATGTTACAAATTGAATTTTCAGGTGAATCATTTCGTGAGTCATGAATCATTTTAATTATGATAAGCAAGAAAAAAAGTAATGCTATATTTTGGCTTAATTTGATCGCTTTCAGTAAACAATTCTCATTTATGATAAAATGATGAGTAAATTTATAGATTACAATGAGATTTAATCGTTCTTATATTGCTTCCTCTTATATTGTGAGCTGAAGTGGTTCGGTGACGGGATGGTTTAGTACTTCGGTATCCAATTATTGCAATGCTGACACAATTCGATCATGGGTTCGAGACTCGACATTAGAAAATTTTCACTTGTCCTTTTTCGAATCATATGTACTGGAAATGAGGCTCTTAACCTTCCTTTGTAGGCTACAGGGAGATCCCACTATAAATTGTAGGCTCTAGGTTTGAGTGCAGTCGTTTGGCGCATCCTCACTCGTTAAACTATCTTTAGCTGCAAAAGACCCTAGCACACCTCTGGATCACAATTGATCTGAATAGGTAAAGGTTTTTTTATGTTGCTAACAACATCATTACCAATTATTATTTCTACAGCATTAAATTTGTATGGCTTAATTTTGATTTTTCACAGATGCAATATTTTCATTCAGTTAATAAGTTATAAAAAAATCTTATCAAGTGGACTTTAGCATAAATCGTACGTTTTCTGTTTAATAATTTATTTATTTATAAATAATTTTTTTATAATGGAAGATAATGAGTTTGAGCTAGTAACAGAATAAGAAAAAGATTAATCTTTGAATCCATAGAATGATGTTCAGCTACAAAAATTCTTTGGTTATTTCGAGTTTTTCTTACTAGACATAAAGCTCATTGACTGAGAAACCATAATACTCAAGCAAATAGACAATCTGACTTTCTCAAAAATCTTGTTCTTAACAGAACCTTTATTTTACCAATAAAGATCTAAATAAAGACAAACGTTGACAGCATCCGTCTTCTTAAATCGAGTATATATTCTCTTGCAGATATAGCATCCTTCCGCATGGCTCACAGAAGTTTTTTTTGTTTTTTTTTTTTATTTTTAATTTGTTTCAATAAAAAGTAGAACTTAAAATTTCAAATGAAAAATTAATGGCTTTACTTAATCAAAGTATATTCAAAAAAAAATTGATAAAAAATTTCATGGTAAAAAATATTAAATGACATTAATACCACATCAATCAATATATAAGCTTTTGAGATTTTGAACCTGGTTAGATAATTTCTGATGTCTTAAATCTTCGTCTTTCAAAAATCGTCACGCGAGAATCACGAGTATTCTCTCAAGTACGCCTGCTTTTATCAACATTTCATTCAGAGTCGTCTTTTAAGATTCGTTTAATGAATGATAAGATTAAAAAAATGCTACTTGTAGCTTTTGAGTTATTTTTACGATTATATAATACAGTTGAGATTCAAACGTGAAAAGTTCAAAAAACTTCCTATTTACATCACAATAAATTTAAAAACATAAAGATTAAGTCAGTGACTGAAAATTCATAACTGATGGTTAAAAATAAAAATCATGTTGTTTTAGAGCTCAAAAGGATATTTTATGGTAAACATTTTCATTTTGATTTGACCTAAATCATTCGTAAAATGTAAGTAGGCGTGAAGCAAAATGATACATATCAGTGACTTCACTCGAGTTAACCTTTGAAAGCCACCTTTCATTCTACTTGAAAGAATTTCTAAGAACAAAATGTTTTGCATTAAATAAAGTGAAAGTAAATTTTTTTGATCGACTTTGTGATTTAAAATATTAAACATACAAACGTAAATAGCTATAAGAGTTCTAAAGAATCCTTGCAAATATTGATTTCATAATTAAGTTTCTTTGAAATGTTACTGACCCTCTAGAAAATATGTAAAATGATTCAACAAATTCGAAAGAATCAATCATCTCAATGTATAATGAATGAAAATGTTTTGCCACTCAATTCAATGGATAAATGGGAAGCCGGTTTTAAATAATATGTTGCGAATACATTAAATTTACATTTTTCATTTTTTCTATTTTATTTCATAGCAGCTTAAGTCTAAGAGTTTCACAAATTTTTTACCGACATGTCTTAAACTAGTGACTCATGAATTTTTATGAATTGGAAATTCGCTCTTACTAGGAATTATTTTCGTTTGCTCTTTATTTTATTTCTTCAATAAAGTTAATGCTTATACACACAACACATGTGTAAATTTTTGATGCTTCTTTAGTAAATTCAAGCATTAAGCATTCGAAGAAATAAAATTCTTTGTGTGTGATTAATTATGATTTTAAAATACGTTACCTTTGGAAATCTATAAGGTTAATACATTAGTTGAGTGAATGTAAGGCTCGCCGTATCTCCTAGCTATTATCGGAAATTGATTGTCTAATATTTCGTAATACGTAATTAAATTTAGACTTCTTAATTCATATTTAGATAAGCTTAATAAAACTCAAGAGCTACTTATTTCTCGTTTATCACAAGTATCTTATCTTTTTGCTTTAAAATTCATACGTCTACATTTCGTTCTTCAAAAATCACGCCTCTTTTTTTAACATACTGCGTATAATCTCCTATAATATCAGCAATTGCTAATTGCTAATTGATTCAACAATTTCTTAAAAATATTTTTGAAAAACTTAAGCACTTATTTTGTATTTACCTGGATTTACAATTCTGAATGAAGCATGAAGGTTAGTTTTAATTAATTCAGAATATATTGTTAAATGCTTTTACTTATAATAGCTTATAATCAATACATTATACCGATTTTATTTAACTTTGATTTAAATTAGACTTTCTAATACTAAATCACAGCCGATACGAGAACGTCCTGCCTACATTGATATGTTGACATAAAGTAATTTGAGTTTGTTTATACAGCTTCATATTGTGCTGTTTGAATATGGAAAAAATTATGCATTACTTTAATATCTGTAGGTCAAGAAATATTCAAATGGTTTCTCTGCGGTGCATGATGAGCATAATGATTTATCTGCTGGATGTTACTTTTACAAATGTCTTAGACTTCTAAGTTTAGCAATATCATAATTTTCTTGAAATTTTGCTTTTAAACTGATGAAAAGCATCAAAATTGCTTCTAAGAAAATTATTTCTAAATTTTTATGCTTATTTTGTTGCAAAAAAATAAACGAAATTATCATTTATACTGCCGATTTCAGGTTTTTCTAGTGAATTGAATTTTCGAAACTTCTTGAATTTTGTTAACACATTTAAATTTTATTTCTTGGAGAATGAAGTAAGAAATTTTCTGCAATTCAAATTAATTCTTACGAAACAAGACGGAAAGAATAATAAAAAGACTTCGATTAATATCTAGTGCCAAAAATTAACATTTTGTGTGAAATTTGATAGGAATTGGGATGTTATATTTAGTATTTTAAGGCACGTGAGATTTTTAAAGTAACAGTATTATTAAGAGATAAAAGGATTATCAGCGTTTTTTAAATTTTTTTTTGCCCAGTTGCTTGTTATATTTAAGGACAGGTAGATACTTTTGTCAAGGATACTTTTAAAGCGATTGTTTTTCAAAAATTTTGGTTTACGGAACACTTTTCTGCTTAAATTTTTTAGTGGCACACCTGAAGTTCTTTAACGTCACTCAAATATGCCTCGGCACACTGTTTGAGAACTACTCTTATAGAGGCTTGAGTTCCCTTCCTTTTTTAAACCAGCTTTTAGTGTTGAAAATTTTCCCTTCAGCAAAAGATTATTCCTGAGTAACCTGACACATAGAAACAAATTTTAGAGATGCTTTTTGTAGGTCATTTTATGATCAGCTTCATTTAAGAGAAAAAAAATCAACACTTACGTAAAATATCTTAAAATCCATAATTTAAGGCCAATATTTTCGAATACATTAAAATCTTTTGAATTTCAAATTAGTCATACACGTGTTTGACATGATTCGAATATAAGACAAGACCGACAGTGAAGTGAAAAATACGCATGAAATAGTGCAAAAGTAAAATGAATCACGTTTATGTTGCT